GATCTTCACCACGACACATTGTAATCAAACTCTTCACAGTAAAATATAAAGAAAAGATTCTCAAATGTGCATGAGAGAAACACCAGATTACTTTCAAAGGCTCTCCAATTACACTTTCAGCTGACTTCTCATCAGAAACCTTATAGGCCAGGTGAGAATGGCCAGATGTATCCCAAGTCTTTAGTGAAAAAACTGTCAACCCAGAATACTGTACCCTCTGCAGCTGTCATTTAAAAATGAAGGCGAAATAAAGACCTTCCATAACAGAAACTGAAAGAATTTGCCACCACTTGTCCAGCCTTAAAAAGATGCTACATACAGAATAACAGAAGCATGGTCATCACTATGAAAGAAGGTCAAGGCAGAAAATCTCCCAGTAAAATACAAAGGAAATCCAAAGTAAACATCAAGATTATTAATGGAAAGATGGCAGGGCCAGGTCATTACTTATCAGTAGTCACCTTGAATGTAAATGGCCTCAACTCTCCAGTTAAAAGATACAGACTGGCTGAATGGATTAAAAAGACAAGGCCCATCTGTTTTCTGCCTACAAGAAACACATCTCACCAGCAAAGATACACACAGTCTGAAAGTGAAAAAATGGAAGAAGATATTCTATGCCAATAGAAACCAAAAAAGAGCTGGTGCAGCCATCCTAATGTCAGACAAAATAGGAAAAAATTGTTAAACAGGCAAAGAAGGGAATGTAATGACTAGTGATCAGTTAAACAGGAAGATGTGACTGTAATAAATATATATTCACCTAATTACACGACACGCCACTGTTTAAAAGAATGAAATGTTAATGTATCTAAAGGGAAACATAGACTTCAATACAGTAGTAATGGGTGACTTCAGTACCCCAGTTTCAGCACTAGATCAACCAGACAGAAAATCATCAAGGAAACAATAGTGTTAACCTATACTAGAGACCAAATGGATGTAATGGATGTCTGCAGAGCTTTTCATCCTACAGTTGTAGAGTACACATTCTTCTCACCAGTGTACTAGGATAGACCACCTGCCAGGCCATAAAGCAAATCTCAGCAAATTCAGAAAAATAGAAATCATATCGTGCATCTTCTCTGACCACAATGGGTTGAAACTGGAAATGAACAACTCAAGAATCTCTAGAAAATATGAAAACACAAAGATACTGAACTACATGCTCCTGAATGAGCAGTGGGTCATAGAAGAAATCAAAAGAGAAATAAAAAAATTTCAGAAATGAATGAAGACAGCCATGCAACATATCAAAACTTATGAGATATAACAAAAGCAGTATTAAGAGGGAAGTTTGTAGCAGTTGGTGCCTAAATGAGCTATCAATGTATCTCAAGGACCTAGAAAAACAACAGTAAACCAAAGCCAAAATTAGTAGGAGAAAAGAAAGAAATAAATTAGAGGAGAAAGAAACAAAATTGAAACAAAGAAATACAAAAGATCAGTGAAACAAAGAGCTGGTGTTTTGCAAAAATAAACAAAATTGACATATCATTGTCCCAACTAACCAAAACGAGAGGGAGATGACTCAAATCAATAAAATTAGAGATTAAAAAGGACATGTTACAACAGATACCACAGAAATAAAAAGAAGAACCACAAATCACTACAATGAGCTGTATGGCAACAAATTGGGAAACTTAGAAGAAATGAATAGACTTCTGGACACATACAACCTACCTAAATTAATCCATGAAGACATAGAAAACCTAAACACACCAATAATGAAGATGGAAATTTAATCAGTAAAAAGACACTCTCAACTAAGAAAAGCACAGAACCAGATGGCTTCAGGGCTGAGTTCTACCAGACATTTGAAGAACTAACACCAATTCCTCTCAAGCTATTCAAAATAATTGAAAGAGAGGGAATCCTCCCAAACTCCCTCTATGCATCCAGCATCACCTTAATTCCTAAACCTGAAAAAGATAGAACAGAGGAAGAGAACTAGAGACCAAGTTCCCTGATGAACATAGATGCAAAACTCCTCAGCAAAATACTAGCTCATCAAATCCAACAACACATCAGAAAGATCATTCACCTGGACCAAGTGGGATTTATCTCTGGTATGCACGGATGGTTCAACCTTCACAAGTTAATTATGTGACACATCACATTAACAAAGTGAAGAACAGAAACCATGATGATCTCAACAGATGCAGAGAAAGCATTTGATAAAATACAACATCTTTCATGATGAAAGATTCAAGCAAATTGGGTATAGAAGAAACAGTCCTCAACACAATCAGGGAAATTTATAACAAACCCATGCCCAGCATCCTATTGAATGAGGAAAAGGTGGAAGCATTCTCACTAATATCCAGAACCAGCAAAGGTGCTCACTCTCACCATTGCTATTCAATGTAATCCTGGAAGTTTTAGCCAGAGCCATTAGGCAAGAGAAAAAAATCAAAGGGATACAAATTGGGAAGGAGGAAATCAAACTATCCCTATTTGCGGATGATATGGTCGTGTATATAGGGGATCCAAAAGACTCCACTAAAAGGCTATTGGAACTCATAAAAGAGTTTGGGAAAGTGGCGGGTTATAAAATCAACACACAAAAATCAATAGCCTTTCTATATACAAAGACAATGCCACAGCTGAGAAAGAACTTCTAAGATTAATCCCATTCACAATAACTGCAAACAAAATGAAATACCTTGGAATAAACTTAACCGAGGACATCAAGGATCTCTATGATGAGAATTACAAAACATCAAATAAATGAATAGAAGACATTTAAAAACTGGGAAAATCTTCCATGTTCATGGATTGGAAGAATCAATATCAAAATGTGCATACTAACAAAAGCAATTTACAGATTCAATGCGATATCAATCAAAATACCAAGGACATTCTTCTCAGATCTAGAAAAAAATGATTCTGAAATTCATATGGAAACACAGGAGACCCTGGATAGCAGAAACATCTTAAGCAACAAAAACAAAGCCAAAGGCATCACAATACCAAATTTCAAGACACACTACAGGGGAGTAACAATCCAAACAGCCTGGTACTGGTACAAAAACTAGTGGGTAGACCAATGGAATAGAATAGAAACTGCAGAAATCAACCCACACATCTACAACAAACTTACATTTGACAAAGGACCTGAAATCAATCCTGAATAAAGTACAGTGTCTTCAACAAATGGTGCTAGGAAAAGTGGATTTCTGCATGCAGAAGTATGAAGCAAGACCCCTACTTTACACTTTACACAAAAATCCACTCAAAATGAATCCAATACATAATCTACAACCTGATACCATTGAATTGTTAGAAAACATGGGTGGAAACCCTGTAAGACATAGGCATAGGTAAAGAGTTCTTAGGGAAGACTCCAGAGACACAGGCAGTCAGACCCGATATTGACAAATGGGACTACATGAAATTGAGAAGCTTCTCCACTGCAAAAGAAACACTCAGCAAGGTGAAGAGGCCACCTACAGAATGGGAGAAATTACCTGCCAACTATGCACCTGATAAAGGATTAAATCCAGAATAAATAAATAACTCAAGAAACTCAACAAAAACACAACAACCAGTTAATAAATGAGCAAAGGACTTAAACAGACATTTTTCTGAAGAGGAAATCCAAAGGGCCCACAGACACATGAAAAAATGCTCCGGTTCACTAGCCCTCAGGGAAATGAAAACCAAAACCACAGTGAGGTTTTACCTCACTGCATTAAAATGTCTTTTGTACAGAAATCAACAGAAAATAAATGCTGGCAAGGATGTGGGGAAAATGGTATCCTAATCCACTGCTGGTGGGAATGTAAACTGGTGCAGTCATTGGAAGACAGTATGAAGATACCTCAGAAATCTGAATGTAGACCTACCATATGACCCAGCCATCCTACTCCTTGGAATTTACCCAAGGAAAATGAAATCAGCATAGGAAAGAATTATCTGTACTTCTGTGTTTATTGAGGCTCAATTCACAACAGCTAAGATATGGAATCAACCCAAATGCCATCAACTGAAGACTGGATAAAGAAATTATGGGATATGTATACCATGGAATACTACACAGTGGTTAAAACATAAGGTCCTGGCGGCACCATGGCTCACTAGGCTAATCCTCCACCTGTGGCGCTGGCACCTTGGCTTCTAGTCCTAGGTGGGGCACCAGATTCTGTCCCAGTTGTTCCTCTTCCAGTCCAGCTCTCTGCTGTGGCCCGGGAAGGCAGTGGAGGATGGCCCAGGTCCTTGGGCCCTGCACCCGCATGGGAGACCAGGAGGAAGCACCTTGCTCCTGGCTTTGAATCAGTGTGGCGAGCCGTCCGCAGGACACTTGCCATAGCGGCCATTTTGGCGATGAACCCATGGAAGGAAGACGTTTCTCTCTGTCTCTGTCTCTCTCTCACTGCCTAACTCTGCCTGTCCAATAAATAAATAAATAAATAAATAAAGTCCTGTCATTTGAAACAAAATGGGTGTAGTTGGAAAACATATTATTTAGTGAAATAAGTGAGAACAAAAGAACAACTAACATATGTTCTTTCTGATCTGTGGTAACTAATAGAGCACCTAAAGGTCTTCTGTAGACATAAATTGACACTTTGAGATGCAATGACTTTGAACAGCCCTTTTTTCAACTGTTAAGGGACAGGTTTATTTTTTCATACTATTTGTTGAACTCTTTACTTAGTGTAGAGAAATTCGTGTTTATGAAATTAATTGAAAATAGATCTTAATAAAACATAAGAATGGGAATAGGAGCGGAAGGAGGAAGAATGATGGGAATGGGGGTGGAAGGGTGGGAGTGCAGGTGGGAGGGCGGGTATGATGAGTAGAATCACTATGTGTTTAAAGTAGTATTTAGGAAATGCTTGAACTGTGTATACCTTAAATAAAATGTTTCTGGGGAAAAAAGAAAAAGAAAAAAGGATGAAGCTTTATTGGCACTCAGACACAAAAAAGAATTGTTTATATTTTTCATGTTTAGCCATACTTGTCTTGTCCCATGGTCAAATTGAGTGGAACTGTACTTGTTTTTTTTTAATCCTGTCTTCTGATTCTGTTTCATAGTTCTGCCATTTCACCCATTCCTTTTTCTATGACTGAGCCTAAAAAATCTTTCTCCTATTGGATTTCCAAGTCTGGGATCACACTCCTTTCTCCTTACTCAGTTCTTGCCCTTCATTCTCTTACTTCCCCATCCCACTTTGAGTTCATACTTTCTAATGCAGACTATGAACACCACCTCCACCAAAGAAAAATCACAACTAACAGTGTCTCAAAACTCAAAAGACTTCTTTATTAATCATCTATAAATTAATTCTATTATCTTTATTTCATTTTATTAATACTTAAAAATATATAAATAAATAGAGAAATATGTATTTTGCTATAGGTATGTATATAGATGTGGAAAACCAAGTGCTATCAACAGTCTTAGTAACTCTTACACTGCATAGCCATAGTATCGAGAGATAGCCATCTCCTTTTCCCTCTCGATGAAAAACTGCAGTTTCCCCATAGAGGTGTATTTGGCAGCATTCTCACGCTGCTGTTGAGCCCGCCTCTTCAGAGCCTCTCGCTCTGGCCTCTGTTCTTCTGTGATGGGATCTGACACTACAGGCCCAAGAATATCAGGTTTCCTCCATGGAATTGGTTGGCGGCTGAAATCTTGGATGAGAAATGGGTTTTGAGGGTTGGGTGGTGACTGGAGCTTGGCCACAGCAGCAGAAACAGGCTCCCCCTTGAGAGAAGTGTAAGATGATGTTTTGTTAGGTGCAGGCCTAGAGACAGCAGATGGAGGGATACTAGGCCGGGTAGGGTGCATCAAACCTGGTCGAGCTGCAATTGGCCGAGCTGGTCTGGCAGGGTCCATGGAAGATGTGTTGGCAGGAGCTGCTTGGGGTGGACTGACTGTAGTAGGTTGAGCTGGATTAGTAGAAGCAGGCCGGGCAGAGTTCCCCAGAGTGGGCCTGTGTGAGGCAAGAGACAGTGGCCTCCGAGGAACAGGTTGAGGTTGAGGCTTACTGACATTGGGGAACGGCAGAGGTATCAACTTCACCTTTCCGGGTGGTGGCAGGTCATACACGGATGGAGATGCGCACCCTTTGTCAGCTTCACCATCCAGTTTCAGGGCACTGACTTGTGTTATCTCAGCACCTGCACCCTGCTGTGGGGTTGTTAGCAATGGTTTGATAGCTGAGGATGCACAGGGGTCTTTGATGTTGCTTGAATTTCCCAGGTTCCTGTAGGAAGAGAGGCCAGTTTTCTTATCGCTCTTCTTCCCCAGCGCATGGAAAACCTGCACAGACTCTAGCATGTGCATGCCTAGGCAGCTTCTAGGTTTTTTGAAGCTCTCTTGGGTAAGCTCAGGTGGATTTCTCTTCCTCTTTGTCTTGGGGACGGATGGTTTGTCTCCTGCCTTGACTTTGCTCCCTGACTGCTTGCTCTCTTGAGCTTTTGTAGAGTTGTTTTCTCTGGTTCTTCTGGCCTTTGCTTGCCCATCGCACTTGGTTTTCCTGGACCTTCTAGATGCAGCTTTCTGAGGTTTGATGTTTGATTTGTTGGCCATATTCACAGGATCCCTGTCACAGGCTGCAGCACTGCAAGGAACCGCTTCTCCCTCTAACAGGAACTCTGGGTCCTTTGGCTGGATTTTGGTTTTGCTACTACCATTGATCGGTTCAGCAGCTTTACGCTTTTTCTTCCTGACTACATCGGAGAGACCCTTTATGTCTCTTGAACTGTCCTGCACCTGAGTTCCTTGGATGTCTCCAGTATCTGTGGCATTGCTTGCCATGGGACCATTGGGTTGGTCAAGATCTTCCAAGGAACTGAAGATCTGGGGAAGGCAAATCTCCTCCACCAGTGTGGTAATGTCTGCAAAGCCATTGCTAGCCTCAGTCCCATCTTCCAGTAACCCTTGATCCTCAAGGCTGAGATTATTTCCCAGAATGGCATTTGTAGGATCAGGCTGCTTCTGTGGGCAAACAGGGTTATCAACACAAGCCAGCAGCTGACCTCTATCAGGGATTTCCAAAGGGAGCAGTGGAAGATCTTGGTTTTCTGCTGGGTCCTGGAAGGCATCCAGTGGCTTGGAAAGCTTGGTTTTGATGTCACCCAAATTGATAGTCTCTGTTTTCTCCTGGCTTTGATCTAGAGGTAGTACCAAGAGATTCGTGGAACTCTGCAGTGGAACTATCTTTGAAATGTCCCCTGTCTCAGATGGTGAGTCACTGTCAAGTATCCGGATATTTCTGCTCCTGCAGGACTTGGGGAATTCTTCACTTTGTGGCAGACAGGATGTCTTGCTTATAGGTTGCAATCCACGGGAAGAAGTCTCCATCCCTGGGAAATTTTTCATCACTGCAAAAGAATCAAGGAAGAAATCAGTCTGTGGTATTTGAGGCGCCCGCACTACATATCAGTGCAGAATCTAAGCACTTTCCAGCCAGTGGACATGGATATGACTAGATCTTCTTAAGGACAAAGGCAACAGAGAGTTAGTCCTTGACCAAGTTGTCTCTAGTATCATCGTTTCCTTGGCTTTGTCTTCACTGGATTATTATAGCAAAGAAAAGGGGAAGTGGTTTTAAAGAATCAAATGTTTCACAAAACCTAGCATTCTCATATTGGATGTTTGTTTTCTGTCCACTCTTCTAGGCAAATACGAGCACCTCCCACCATGGAGTAGGAGGAAGTGGAGCTCTTTCTCATGATTGATGCAAGCAAGCAAAGATTCTGGGCCTGTGGGTTTTTTTTTTTTTTTTTTGACTGTGTCTCAGAACACATGATCTTAAATGGGGTGGAGGGGTCATTTGAGGAAACTAAAACTGTCATTCTGAAATTAAGAACTCTGAAATGCTTTACAAAGAGACTAAAGCAAGGGAGAATGGGAAGTGATGTGATGGTTTAGGGAAGCTGATCAGCTAAGGAAGTGAAAGTGTAGCATCCCTCAGTATGATCTTGGGCTTCTCTCGCATGTAGCATAGATTGCCCATCTAGATTACGTGTTCCTATACAGAGTTCAAAAGGGAGAGCACCGAGCAAGGGTAAGGGTTGAAGAGCCACCACTCTTGCTGCAGAGTTGATCTGCTTTTGACCTTATTCCTTTCCTGCCTAACTGTTTGCACTCACCTTGGAAACTTGTTCCTGTGATGGGTTGAGCAGGCACAGAGTAGTAGATTCCAGAGGTCGAGGCTGGTGGTGGGGCGTCTGTGGGCTGGATCCTCTTGAGCACCATCACCATTTCTGGCTGAGGGGCAGACGCCACACTTCCCATGTATGTCACAGGGCCATAGGATTGCAGACAGGGGCCAAGTTCTCCAGAGAGCACATGCCCTACTGTGCCTTGATTATAGTAGTAGACCTGGCTTCCTTCTGCATATGGAAGGGACAGGCAGTTTCCCTGATTTGGAATCTGAGTTGCTGTCCCCTGATGCAGTGATGGATACAGAGGGACCATGGTATTGGCATCTGAAGTTTTGTTATATTGGGCTGTCATAGCCATGGAAGAAACACCAGTGTCCTGGTCAATGAGAGTTACAGTGAAGTCCTCGAGCGACGAGGACTTCTTTGCAGTGTGTCCTGTGATATTCCATTCAGAAATACCTGGGTAGGAGGCAGCAGAAGTGGAGATCTGGCTCTGGCCAGTAACTCCAGACAACAGAGTTGTGTTAGAATGTTGGCAAAGGTAGGCACTACCCATGAGTGGCTGGAAAGAGGTGGCAGCGGCTGATGGCAGTAGCCAAGCCGAACCGACAGTTGGAGCAGACACTCTGGAGAAGTCGCAGACGCTTCCTGGTAGGGAAGCCGCAGTGCCTACCATGGGAATAGAAAGCTGCAGGGAATTTGCAGTCCCAAGTAGGGATGGATTTTGGGAATTTTCTGTAGGAAACAAGAGCGAGATGGGAAAATAGATGAAATTGATGAAATCTTAACATTATCTTAAGATTATTGTCCTCAGAAAGCATCTCATACCAATAGTCCTAACACAGGAAATTCAGACATTCATGATTGTCAATAAGTCCTAGAGCAGTTTTCTACCCTTATGATGCACTTTGTTTATTGTGGATTGTTGTACAGGTGTGGGGCAGATTCAAGACATTCATCATTGCCTAGACTAGAAGCCACGTTCTCCCTGCCCTTCTTTCCCTTGAGCCTGCCCCCCCAGGTTTGACTCCTAAGGACTTCCTGGAGGTGAAGCATTGTAGAACGAGGAGGTCTCTGGAGAACTTCTAACACTCTCATTTTACCAGTGAGGAAAGTGAGGCTCCTCAAGATCAGATTGACTTACTGGAGTTCTCCCATTGTGTTAGGGTCACTGCCAGGTTACAGAACCAATTCCTGTTTCAGGACTCTGCAGATAAACACCTGAGCCTGGGAGAAGTGGAATTTGAATGCAGGCATTTTTGGGTCCTTTGAAAAGTGGTTTCTTTGCAAACAGTATACTAGTGACCACTGTCATCTTTGGTGCATTGTTGTGTTTGTGCAGGGCACCTGCCATTGCCTAGAATCTACACATAACCTAGTCCAGCTTGTTTTCCAGGGTTATTTTCTATCGTCTTCAAGCCTGCCCTCTGACCCCAGGTCAGAAGGACCTCCTAAGAGTCGTTATAGTCATAACAGTGATAATGAATGCATGAAAAGGCGATTTTTAATGTGATTTATGTTGATGAAGATATAGTAAGTTCTGGAAGGACAGATGAAAATCCTGAAAACATATAATATGACAGAACTGTAAAGAATATAAGGATATTTCAAAAAGTGCATGGAAAGTGAGAGGAAAAGATAAGATTCTTTGGTGCAAAATATTTTGACCTTTATGCATATGAAGGGTCTTGAAAAAGCTCATGGTAATGTATGCCATTAAGATACAATGTATGGATGTTAAATATTTCTGACACCACAGTAACTTAGTGTTTACAGGATCTGTTTGAAATGCCCTCATATGTAGATATTAATGAGAATTGGAATAAATGACAAACAGCAAGGAATAGTAGATTACCACATGGTTCTGTCATCGAACCTGCAATAGTATGCAAGTGAATATTGTGTACTCTATTTTTAGTGAATACTATTTAACAAAAGCATCCTACTTTAGGTGATTTTTGAATGAATTTCTAACCAGCACATATAGAGAAAACATATCAATGAAAAAGTGTATAACAAGCAGCAGGATGCAGTGAATGTGTAAGTACCCATAATGTATGTGAACAAATACTTCATCAAAAACAAGTCCAAAACAGGTAGCCAAAAACTGAGTGTAAATAGATTCCTTTATTATGCTCATTCATATTACTCTGAGTAGTCTCCAGTATGTAACAGATATCAATCTTATAGAAATAGAAATTTCAATAACTACAGCCATCTAAACACCCGACAAGAACACTGACGGTATCATGAAAATGTTTATATGTATGCTTGAAACCTGGATCCTTATCGTCTTCAGCCTATAGGAAAATGTCATCCCCAAAGCTTAGAAAACACCGTAACTACCAAATAATTGTTTTAGAGAAATGTAAAACCAGAGCTGTAGGGCTCAACCTGTTACTTTTGTTTTTAGGTAGGTCTTTCACTTTTTGCTTAGTTCTAACAACAGTTAATGACTGTTAATCCTGTTAATCCGCAGGTACTCTGTTTTTGGAGGAAAATAATTATAAAGATGACAGACAGCCTTGACTTGAAATCTGTCACAGCTGGGGAATTTGTTCTCCTGTTGCAGAGTAGAGAATTTGCCCTTCTGCTCCAGAGGAGGATATATCATTTACAAAAATTTTTTTAAAGATTTATTTATTTATTTATTCATTTATTTATTTTTGACAGGCAGAGTGGACAGTGAGAGAGAGAGACAGAGAGAAAGGTCTTCCTTTGCCGTTGGTTCACCCTCCAATGGCCGGCGTGGCCAGCGCGCTGCGGCCGGTGCACCGCGCTGATTCGATGGCAGGAGCCAGGTGCTTCTCCTGGTCTCCCATGGGGTGCAGGGCCCAAGCACTTGGGCCATCCTCCACTGCACTCCCGGGCCTCAGCAGAGAGCTGGCCTGGAAGAGGGGCCACCGGGACAGAATCCGGCGCCCTGACCAGGACTAGAACCCGGTGTGCCAGCGCCGCAAGGCGGAGGATTAGCCTAGTGAGCCACGGCGCCGGCCCTAAAAAATGTTTTTGATAATAGAAATAGACAGCAGTTTAAAAATCAGAATGAACAAGAACACTGAAAATCCCATTTCCCCCAGTCCCCAAGTTAACTGCTTTTAGTCAAGTTCCATGTTTGGAGGAAGCATCACTTCTAGTGCACATTTCTGATGTTCATTTTCAAAGCTGTCAGGTGTCTTCCATGTTCAAAGAGGCATGGGAAAAAACAAAAACCAAACAACTGAGTATGCCTTTCTGAAAAGCTGCTTTCCCAGGGATTCTCAGTGCTAGCCTTGGTTTCCTTTCTGGTACATTAATGTAAGAATTTGTGCTGCTCTGCGTAAATTCCACCCTGTGCTCATTACTTTAAAATCTTATATCCTCCTCAACATTCCATGCCAAAAAGTCTCTTCTTTCCTTGAGAAATACTCTATGCTGCTCATCGCTATAATTCTTGAAATTTCCTTGTCATCATTTTTGTCTTTCCTCCCTCTTCTCAACACACCTGTTGTCCCAAAGATCTTTTTCCTAGAATATCTGCCTATGTACAGGCCAGGCATCTCTATCCTCTCTCCCTATTTTCTGTTTTTAATCTATATTAAATAAAAAAAACCCCAAAATATGTGAGTATTGCATTTTGAACAGAACTCAATTTGAAATACTATAGTTGAAATGTTTTTGGAGGGAGACTGTTAGAGTTGAAAAATCTTAGTGTATTTCGTTAGTTTTCTATATGTCCTGGATGTTTTTCCCTCTATTTCTGTTGAAACAAGCACTCTCAAGTGACAGTCTCTGGTTTCATTTTCTGTGTGTATACCCTTTAAGATTCAGTATTAGAAAAGAGTGGGTGGGGGCCAGCGCCGTGGCTCACTTAGTTAATCCTCTGCCTGCCGTGTTGGCATCCCATATGAGTCTGGGTTTTAGTCCCAGTGGCTCCTCTTCCTGTCCAGCTCTCTGCTGTGGCTTGGGAGGGAAGTGGAGGATTTTCCATGCACTTGGGCTCCTGCACCTGCATGGGAGCCCAGGAGGAAGCACCTGGCTCCTGGCTTTGGATCGGCGTAGCACTGGCCGTAGCTGCCATTTGGGGAGTGAACCAACAGAAGGAAGACCTTTCTCTGTCTCTTTCTCTCACTGTCTAATTCTATCTGTCAGATAAAAAAAAAAGAAAAGAGAGGGATTTGGGAGAATTAATTACTATCCTGATGTAGCAAATGAGGAAACAGGTGTTTTGGGAGAGTTGTGATTCGTCCAAAGTCACATAGCCAGTAACTGGTAAAGCCAAACTCGAAACTGAGTCTCCACGTTTCTAGTTCAATATTTAACCCCATCGTTCCAAGCTGTTTGGACTGTATTACTCAGTTTACATGGAAAAAACATGTAGTGAAGAACTTTTAAAGGTTTCTTTTCTTACCTGACATGGTCAGAGACGAGGAAATATCAACGGTAGATATGAAGGTTGAAGAGACGATACAGAGGATGACTGGCTGGCTGGTGCCAGCAAGCACATGTGTCCAGTATGGAGGTCACTGGCTACTGGTCACTTGCGATGTTCCAAATTTGTTTACAGACAGCTCCATGGAAACCCCAAGATTCCACCAGGTGGTAGCAGGTTTGGTGGGAGAATGATGTCAAAAACAGGCAGTTTAATGGTCTGAGGTAGCCAATAGGGAGGTCAGGATTCCCACTGAGAAGAGGAGATTGGGTGGAGGGAATGGTGGACAGCTGTAGCGGCATCTTTAACAGAGCTATGGCAGTTGAACTCTGGGATGGTGAAATCCTGTAAAGACAGACTTCCCCAGCCACGCAGCTGTTAAACGGGGAAATCTTCTCAATGTTTCTCATACATGTTCATTAATGGAATCAATCAATGCTTACTTACTTTCTGTGTATTGTATATAGTGTCATACACATTTGTACAGTTTCCTGGGTTGGAGAGGAAGGGAAGGGAAGTCCAGATTGAGCGGTTATGGTGCTTCTGAAAGGATCTAGTTGATCTGATTAGTGAACTCCCTGCAGCTTTTAAAGACTAAAGGATTGACCCAGAGTTCCTTTGGCAACGTGGTTGAAGAGTAGAGTGAAGTTCACTGAGTGTGCCTTGTAGGGATGGTGTGGTCCAAGGCTGTTCCCTTGTGGTTTCTTCTCCGTGAGTCCTAAGTTGCTTGGGCTTAGATGGGCCAAGTTGGACTTGCATCTTTCTTTGTCCCTTTCATCTTAGCCATTGTGTCTGGAACAAGACTTGTTCCTGTGGTCTTACATTTACAAATGTTACGTGTTGTCAACTTGCAGAAGCAGGGGTCTTCTTTGGGAAGCAAGCACTAGAGAATAGTGACTGCCAGCCTGCCTTCTCCTAGCTAAAGGTAGTGGTTTTTTGCCTATGGTTTGCTGCCTCTGGTTCCTTGAGCCATGAAGGCATGCTGGCATTCTGTTCCTTTATATCTAAGAGGCATTTAGCATAACTTTTCTCAAATACGCTAATGCAGTGTGACAGTTACTGTAACCTCCTCCCCCTTATAAACAGCCACTGTAGAATCTTGGACCTCTAGGGTTCTGTCTGTCTGCTATGTTTCAGTGCAAGGGCAGACAAAATGAAGAGGAGACTAGTTAAAGAAAGAAGACATTAATGAAGAATAGGGCACAAAGTGAGGGGACAAGAGAGAAGAGGTATCTGTGTATTTTTTGTGGTTTTTGTAAGAAACAGATTGGTATACTTTGGCTATATTTTGTATTAGGAGAAGAGATGATTCAATATATATATTTTTAAATATAGCTGAGGGGCTGGCAGTGAGGTACAGTGGGTTAAGCCACTGATGGCAATGTCTGCATCCCAAATCAGAGTTTTGGTTCAACTCCTAGCGCCTCTGTTTCCAACCATCTCTCCTCTAATGCTTCTTGGGATGCAGCAGGCTATGAGTCAAATACTCAGGTCCTTGAAACTCAGATGGGAGACCTAGAAAGAGTTCTGAACTCCTGGCTTCAGCCTGGCCCAGCCCTTGCTGTTGTAGCTATTTAGGGAGTGAACCAGTAGGTAGAAGATCTCTGTGTATTTCTCTCTCTCTTGCTCTGACTTTCAAATAAGGTGAAAATAAGCTTTTAAATATTCATAGTGTATACTTGGTGCACTAATAAACTGACCTTGAAGAATAATAAAATGTAATTGTGGAGTATAGAAATTCTCATGAATTCTGTACACTGAGGTAAATATCTTAAATGTGTTTGCTGATATCATTTTATGTCCTGTTAACCTCATTCATGTCATCCATTAGTGCTTGCAGAATATAGATGTCTATTAAGGGTTCCAGATGTTTTTCTAAGTGCTCTTTTTTCCTTGTCTTTTTTTTTTTAAGATTTATTTATTTTATTTGAAAGAGTTACAGAAATGGAGAGTCAAGGCAGAGAGAGAGGTCTTCCATCCACTGATTCACCCCCCAAATGGCCACAACAGGCGTCGTAGGCCAGGCCAAAGCCAGGAGACAGGAGTTTCCTCGGGGTCTCCCACGAGGATGCAGTGGCCCAAGGACTTGTGCCATCTTCTGCTGCTTTCTCAGGCGCATTAGCAGGCAGCTGGATTGGAAGTGGAGCAGCCGGGACTAGAACTGGTGCCCATATGGATGGTGGATCTCCAGACAGCAGCTTTACTGCTGACTCACAGTGTCAGTCCCCTTGGCTTATTTTTTTCTAAAGATTTATTGATTTATTGGAAAGTCAGAGTTACAGAGAGAGAGGAGCGGCAGAGAGAGAGAGAGAGAAGTCTTCCACCTGCTAGGTCACTCCCCAATTGCCTACAACGGCCAAGCTGCACCGATCAGCAGCCAGGAGCCTCTTCTGGGTGTCCCAAGTGGGTGCAAGAGCCCAAACACTTGAACCATCTTCTACTGCTTTCCCAGGCCTTAGCAGAGAGCTGGATCGGAAGTGGAGCAGGCGGGTCTCGAACCATCACCCTTATGGGATGCCGGTGCTTCTGGCCAGGGCGTTAACCAGCTGCGCCACAGCAAGGCCCTGTCCCCTTGGCTTATTTTTAAGCAAACCACCATTGTAAGACACATCACATGTATTTATTGTATTTTAAGTACTTATTTATTTAATTGAAAGGCCCTATGAATGAAGAAGAGAGGAAGAGAAGACAAAGACAGCAAGATATCTTTGATTCTCTGGTTCACACCCCAAATGGCTGCAACAGCCAAGTCTGGAGCAGACTGCCACGTGGGTGGAAGGGACCCCAGCACTTAGGTCTTCTGTTGCTTTCCCAGGTGCATCAGGAGGGAGCTGGATAGCAAGTGGAGTAAAGAGAACTCTAACTGGCACTTGGATATCGTATGCTGGCACTGTAGGCAGCAGGTGAACACACAGTGCCATAGGCTGGCTAATTATACAAGTACACATATATATACACACACACGATTATTCAAGTTTCTGCAATAGCATTTGTACAATCAAGAAAAGAAATACAGTATACACTAAGCTGATCTTCTGTATACTAAGATAATCGAAAATGAATCTTGATGTGAATGGAAGGGGAGAGGGAGTGGGAAAGGATATGAGCTATCTAGAAAGGCAAAGCCATAGAAATTGGATAGGGCCAGAGAGAGGAGAGTGTGGGGGAGTGACTACTAATGAAATAAAAGAAAAAGATAAAAAAAAAAAAAAAAAAAAAAAAAAAAAAAAAAAAAAAGAAATACAGTACACAAAATATAACATGGACAATCCTTGAAATCATTATGCTAAGCGAGAGAATTCAATACCAAAGGCCATACATTGTACATTTCTATCTATATGAGCTATCTAGAAAGGCAAAGCCATAGAAATTGGATAGGGCCGGAGAGGGGAGAGCGTGGGGAGTGACTACTAATGGGTGGAGAGTTTCTTTTTTCAGAGCTCAAAATGTTATGGAGTAGGGGCCGGCGCTGTGGCATATCGGGTAAAACTACCGCCTTTAGTGCCAGCATCCCATATGGGCACTGGTTTGAGTACCGGCTGCTCCACTTCAGCTCTCTGCTATGGCCAGGTCTCCCACCCGGGTGTAGGGGCCCAAGTACTTGGGTCACCTTCCATTGCTTTCCCAGGCACATTAGCAGGTAGCTGTATGGGAAGTTTAGCAGTTGGAACATGAACTAGTACCCATATAGGATGCTGGTGCTGCAGGTGGTGGCTTAACCCACTACGCCACAGCTCCAGGCCCTGTTTATATTTCTTCTGGTCTAGCCAGAGTCATTTTCTACTGGTGTTAAATTTACCCAGTTTTTTTTCAGTCCTAAGCACAGATTCCTTGTCTTCTGTCATTTTGCCCGTTTCTGAGTCTCTTAATGAGCCCATAATATCCTTCTCTTTTTGGCTTCCCTAGTCTGGGTTCACACTCCTTCCTACTTTTCAATTGTTATCCTTTTGTCTCCTATTCCCCAATCCAACTTTCATTTAATTTCATTCTTTTTTACTGTTTAAATTTTTTTTAAAGATTTATCTATTTATTTGAAAGGCAGAGATACAGAAAAGCAGAGTGAGAGCGAAAGAGACCGAGAGAGAGGGAGAGAGAGAGTGACAGATATCTTCCAACTGCTGATACACTTCTGACATGGCTGCATTGGTTGGAGGCTGGGAAGAACCTAAGCAAAGAGTCAGGAGTTTTCCCCGGTGTCCCACGAGGGTGCAGGGGTCCAAGGACTTGGGCCATCTTCTGCTGCTTTCCCGGGCCATAGCAGAGAGCTGGATCAGAAGTGGAACAGACGGGTCTCCAACCGGCATCCATATGGGATGCTGGTGCTGCAGGCGGTGGTTTTACCCACCATACCACTGCACCGGCCCTTCATTTTATTCTTTGTAATGCAGACATAGCCCCACCATAACCAAAATAAAACACACAATATAAAGGATTATTTGTTATTTGTCTGTTATTTCTATGACATTTCCTTTATTTCATTTATTAATGCTTTCTGATGAGAAGTCTGCTGTGAGTCTAATTGGAGATCCTCTGAGAGTAATTTGACGTTTCTCTCTTGCATATTTTAGGATCTTTTCTTTATGTTTCACTGTGGTGAGTTTAATTACAACGTGTCGTGGTGAGGATCTCTTTTGGTCATGTTTACTGGGGGTTCTATGAGCTTCCTGTCCTAGGATGTCTCTGTCCTTCTCCAAACCCAGAAAGTTCTCTGCTAGTATCTCACTAAAAAGGCCTTCTAATCCTTTCTCTCTCTCCATGCCTTCAGGAACTCCTAGAACTCGAATGCTGGTTTTTTAAATAGTATCCTGTAGATTCCCAACGATATTTTTTAGATTTCTAATTTCCTCTTCTTTTCTTTGGTTTGACTGTATGGTTTCCTGTGCTCTGTTTTCTAAGTCCGGTATTCTCTCTTCTGTTTCATTGACTCTGTTTTTTAGACTTTCTAATGTGTTTGTCATTTGATCTATTGAGCTCTTCATTTTGATTTCTCTTCACTATCACACTTTCCTGCTCTACTAGTTTCTGCGTTTCATTTTGATTCTTCCTTAAAATTTCATTTTCTCGAGAGAGATTTTCAATCCTGTCCAATAAGGATTTCTGTAGTTCAAGGATTTGCTTTTGAAAACTGCTAAATGTTCTTATCATAAATTTTTTGAAATCCATATCTTGCATTTCTTCTCTCTCATCATCTTCATAATCTTGGCTTGGGTTGTTTTGTTTATTTGGAGGCGTCATAGTGTCATCGTTGATCTTGTTGCCTCGATTTTTGTGTTTGTTGGTTGGCATTGTTAATTCTTCCCTCACTGTGAGTTTTTTTTATTATTATTATTTATACTATGTCTGTGCTAAGTGGACTGTCTGCTGTTGGAGGAGCCTTGGAGGCTTGAGATGGGTGTGGCCTGAGAGCTCTGCTTGGTTCTTCCAGGTTACAGGTGTGCAAAGGTGACACCCTCAGATTATGCGTGGTAAATCTCTCTCTCTCTATTTATTTATTTATTTATTCTATTTTTTTATTCAGGAGGTAAGTAATACCGCACAGCTGAGCAGAATTGATGGTATTTAGCTTCTGATCTCTGGCTTCTACCCAAAGAATCAGTGCTGGTTCAGTTTCTGCTGTGGACTCCCACTGGGTTGCCTAGGCTACTGAATTGTAGCCTTAGCTCTCCCCTTTTGTTATGTATATCCTGAGTGTGGCCTGCTCTTTGTCTCTTGCTGGCCTTTGCAAGGTTGGCAGAGAGAGAGAAACTTGTTTGTACCAGTACCCCCACACCTTTTTTTTCCCTTCTCTCCTGTAGTCAGTCTGGTGAACTTTCCTGCCACAAAGCCCGTTTCCCTCTAGATTTGTCTGCTGTTTCCCCACCAATGTCTCCGGTTACTCAGCTCACCTCCCCTTCAAGCGGCGATGTGTGGACTCGGAGCCCTGGGCGTCCCTGCTCTCCTCGCTGGTGTCTTTGTGACATCCACTTCCCTTCCCGCACTGGTGCGCAGACCCTGCAGCTCCCGTGGCTCAGCATCCGCGCAGTGGGCAACCTTATTCTCCCAGTAGGTCCTCCAAGTCACAGCCACTAGATCCGGAAGAGTTTCCTCTGCAATTTTTTCTGATCCTTTTTCTGAGGCTACCGTAACTCCACTTTTATTAAACTAAATTTTCCCGGACTATCGGTGCGCGTCCTCACTATTCTGCCTTCTTGGCTCCGCCCCTCCCATTCCAATTTGAGTTCATACTTTCTTATGCAGACTTAGAACACCACCTCCACCAAAGAATAATCACAACTAACATTGTCTCAAAACTCAAAAGACTTCTTTATTAATCATCTATAAATTAATTCTATTATCTTTATTTCATTTTATTAATATTTAAAAATATATATATGAATAGAGAAATTTGTATTTTGCTATAGGTATGTATATAGATGTGGAAAACCAAGTGCTATCAACAGTCTTAGTAACTCTTACACTGCATAGCCATAGTATCGAGAGATAGCCATCTCCTTTTCCCTCTGGGTGAAAAACTGCAGTTTCCCCATAGAGGTGTATTTGGCAGCATTCTCACGCTGCTGTTGAGCCCGCCTCTTCAGAGCCTCTCGCTCTGGCCTCTGTTCTTCTGTGATGGGATCTGACACTACAGGCCCAAGAATATCAGGTTCCCTCCATGGAATTGGTTGGCGGCTGAAATCTTGGATGAGAAATGGGTTTTGAGGGTTGGGTGGTGACTGGAGCTTGGCCACAGCAGCAGAAACAGGCTCCCCCTTGAGAGAAGTGTAAGATGATGTTTTGTTAGGTGCAGGCCTAGAGACAGCAGATGGAGGGATACTAGGCCGGGTAGGGTGCATCAAACCTGGTCGAGCTGCAATTGGCCGAGCTGGTCTGGCAGGATCCATGGAAGATGTGTTGGCAGGAGCTGCTTGGGGTGGACTGACTGTAGTAGGTTGAGCTGGATTAGTAGAAGCAGGCCGGGCAGAGTTCCCCAGAGTGGGCCGGTTTGAGGCAAGAGACAGTGGCCTCCGAGGAACAGGTCGAGGTTGAGGCTTACTGACATTGGGGAACGGCAGAGGTATCAACTTCACCTTTCCGGGTGGTGGCAGGTCATACACGGATGGAGATGCGCACCCTTTGTCAGCTTCACCATCCAGTTTCAGGGCACTGACTTGTGTTATCTCAGCACCTGCACCCTGCTGTGGGGTTGTCAGCAATGGTTTGATAGCTGAGGATGCACAGGGGTCTTTGATGTTGCTTGAATTTCCCAGGTTCCTGTAGGAAGAGAGGCCAGTTTTCTTATCGCTCTTCTTTCCCAGCGCATGGAAAACCTGCACAGACTCTAGCATGTGCATGCCTAGGCAGCTTCTAGGTTTTTTGAAGCTCTCTTGGGTAAGCTCAGGCGGATTTCTCTTCCTCTTTGTCTTGGGGACGGATGGTTTGTCTCCTGCCTTGACTTTGCTCCCTGACTGCTTGCTCTCTTGAGCTTTTGTAGAGTTGTTTTCTCTGGTTCTTCTGGCCTTTGCTTGCCCATCGCACTTGGTTTTCCTGGACCTTCTAGATGCAGCTTTCTGAGGTTTGATGTTTGATTTGTTGGCCATATTCACAGGATCCCTGTCACAGGCTGCAGCACTGCAAGGAACCACTTCTCCCTCTAACAGGAACTCTGGGTCCTTTGGCTGGATTTTGGTCTTGCTACTACCATTGATCGGTTCAGCAGCTTTACGCTTTTTCTTCCTGACTACATCGGAGAGACCCTTTATGTCTCTTGAACTGTCCTGCACCTGAGTCCCTTGGATGTCTCCAGTATCTGTGGCATTGCTTGCCATGGGACCATTGGGTTGGTCAAGATCTTCCAAGGAACTGAAGATCTGGGGAAGGCAAATCTCCTCCACCAGTGTGGTAATGTCTGCAAAGCCATTGCTAGCCTCAGTCCCATCTTCCAGTAACCCTTGATCCTCAAGGCTGAGGTTATTTCCCAGAATGGCATTTGTAGGATCAGGCTGCTTCTGTGGGCAAACAGGGTTATCAACACAAGCCAGCAGCTGACCTCTATCAGGGATTTCCAAAGGGAGCAGTGGAAGATCTTGGTTTTCTGCTGGGTCCTGGAAGGCATCCAGTGGCTTGGAAAGCTTGGTTTTGATGTCACCCAAATTGATAGTCTCTGTTTTCTCCTGGCTTTGATCTAGAGGTAGTACCAAGAGATTCGTGGAACTCTGCAGTGGAACTATCTTTGAAATGTCCCCTGTCTCAGATGGTGAGTCACTGTCAAGTATCTGGATATTTCTGCTCCTGCAGGACTTGGGGAATTCTTCACTTTGTGGCAGACAGGATGTCTTGCTTATAGGTTGCAATCCACGGGAAGAAGTCTCCATCCCTGGGAAATTTTTCATCACTGCAAAAGAATCAAGGAAGAAATCAGTCTGTGGTATTTGAGGCGCCCGCACTACATATCAGTGCAGAATCTAAGCACTTTCCAGCCAGTGGACATGGATATGACTAGATCTTCTTAAGGACAAAGGCAACAGAGAGTTAGTCCTTGGCCTAGTTGTCTCTAGTATCATCGTTTCCTTGGCTTTGTCTTCATTGCATCATTACAGCAAAAAAAGGGGAAGTGGTTTTAAAGAATCAAATGTTTCACAAAAGCTAGCATTCTCATATTGGATGTTTGTTTTCTGTCCACTCTTCTAGGCAAATACGAGCACCTCCCACCATGGAGTAGGAGGAAGTGGAGCTCTTTCTCATGATTGATGCAAGCAAGCAAAGATTCTGGGCCTGTGGGTTTTTTTTTTTTTTTGACCGTGTCTCAGAACACATGATCTTAAATGGGGGGGAGGGGTCATTTGAGGAAACTAAAACTGTCATTCTGAAATTAAGAACTCTGAAATGCTTTACAAAGAGACTAAAGCAAGGGAGAATGGGAAGTGATGTGATGGTTTAGAGAAGCTGATCAGCTAAGGAAGTGAAAGTGTAGCATCCCTCAGTATGATCTTGGGCTTCTCTCGCATGTAGCATAGATTGCCCATCTAGATTACGTGTTCCTATACAGAGTTCAAAAGGGAGAGCACCGAGCAAGGGTAAGGGTTGAAGAGCCACCACTCTTGCTGCAGAGTTGATCTGCTTTTGACCTTATTCCTTTCCTGCCTAACTGTTTGCACTCACCTTGGAAACTTGTTCCTGTGATGGGTTGAGCAGGCACAGAGTAGTAGATTCCAGAGGTCGAGGCTGGTGGTGGGGCGTCTGTGGGCTGGATCCTCTTGAGCACCATCACCATTTCTGGCTGAGGGGCAGACGCCACACTTCCCATGTATGTCACAGGGCCATAGGATTGCAGACAGGGGCCAAGTTCTCCAGAGAGCACATGCCCTACTGTGCCTTGATTATAGTAGTAGACCTGGCTTCCTTCTGCATATGGAAGGGACAGGCAGTTTCCCTGATTTGGAATCTGAGTTGCTGTCCCCTGATGCAGTGATGGATACAGAGGGACCATGGTATTGGCATCTGAAGTTTTGTTATATTGGGCTGTCATAGCCATGGAAGAAACACCAGTGTCCTGGTCAATGAGAGTTACAGTGAAGTCCTCGAGCGACGAGGACTTCTTTGCAGTGCGTCCTGTGATATTCCATTCAGAAATACCTGGGTAGGAGGCAGCAGAAGTGGAGATCTGGCTCTGGCCAGTAACTCCAGACAACAGAGTTGTGTTAGAATGTTGGCAAAGGTAAGCACTACCCATGAGTGGCTGGAAAGAGGTGGCAGCGGCTGATGGCAGTAGCCAAGCCGAACCGACAGTTGGAGCAGACACTCTGGAGAAGTCGCAGACGCTTCCTGGTAGGGAAGCCGCAGTGCCTACCATGGGAATAGAGAGCTGCAGGGAATCTGCAGTCCCAAGTAGGGATGGATTTTGGAAATTTTCTGTAGGAAACAAGAGCGAGATGGGAAAAGGAATGAGATTGTTGAAGTTTTATCATTATCTTAGAATTATTAATACCAGAAAGAGCCTAACACCAGTATTCCCTCAGTCACCAAGAAGCAAACAGTTCATGCTAGGCTGTAAGTGCCAGAGCAGTTTTCTACCCTTATGATGCACTTTGTTTATTGTGGATTGTTGTACTTGTGTGTGCAGATTCAAGACATTCATCATTGCCTAGACTAGAAGCCGCCTTCTCCCTGCCCTTCTTTCCCTTGAGCCTGCCCCCCAGGTTTGACTCCTAAGGACTTCCTGGAGGTGAAGCATTGTAGAATGAGGAGGTCTCTGGAGAACTTCTAACACTCTCATTTTACCAGTGAGGAAAGTGAGGCTCCTCGAGATCAGATTGACTTACTGGAGTTCTCCCATTGTGTTAGGGTCACTGCCAGGTTACAGAACCAACTCCCCTTTACAGGATTCTGCTCAGTGCAAATAAATACATGAGCATTGGACAAGTAGAATTTGGAATATAGGGGCCAGCCCTGTGGTACAGCTGTTTAATTCCCCTGCCTGCAGGGCTGGCATCCCATCTAGGTGCGGCTTGAGTCCCAGCTGCTCCACCTGCAACCCAGCTCTCTGCTGTGGCCTGGGAAAGCAGAACAAGATGGTCCAATCCTTGGGCCCTCCTTGTACCCTTGCGGAAGACCTGGAAGAAGCTCCTGATTCCTGGCTTGGGTCAGCTCAACTCTCGCATTTGAGGAGCGAACCAGCAGATGAAAAATCTCTCTCTCTCTCTCTCTGGTACTCTGCCTTTCAAATAAATTAATTTTTTTTAAAAAAACAGCCCTCTAAATTAAATGAATATGGATGAGATAGTACATAATAAAAAGCCCCTGCATGCACCTGGGAGACCAGGAAGAAGCTCCTGGCTCCTGGCTTCATATTGGCGCAGCTCTGGTTTTTGTGGCCATCTGGGTAGTGACCAGCAAATGGAAGGCCTCTCTCTCTGCCTCTCCTTCTCTCTGTGTGTAATTCTGACTTTTAAGTAAACATACAAATCTTTAAATAAAATAAAAGTGGTTCCTTTGAAAACAATACAACACTGTCATCTTTGGTGCATTGTTTTGTTTGTGCAGGACACCTGCCATTGCCTAGAGTCTACATACAACCTATCCCAGCTGGTGTTCAAGGTCATTCTCTATCCTGATCCTAAAATGGCATGGTCTCTTAAGAGTTGTTATAGTAATAATATTGATAATTCATACATGAAATAATGGTATTTGTTTTATGGGATTTATGTGGAGAATGATACAGTAAGTTATAGAAAATAGAAAGATAAAAATCCTGAGGGGCCAGTGCTGTGGCACAGTGGGTTAACGCCCTGGCCTGAAGCACCGGCATCCCATATGGGCGTCAGTTCGAGACCCAGCTGCTCCACTTCCTGTCCAGCTCTCTGCTATGGCCTTGGAAAGCAGTGGAGGATGGCCCAGGTCCTTGGGCCCCTGCACCCACATGGGAAATTTGGAAGAAGCTCCTGGCTCCTGGCTTCGGATCGGCACAACTCTGGCCATTGTGGCCATCTGGGGAGTGAACCATCGGATGGAAGACTCAATCTCTCTCTCTCTCTCTCTGCCTCTCCTCTCTCTCTGTAACTCTGACTTTAAAATAAGTAAATCTTTTTTAAAAATACTGAAAAACATGTACTGTCACAGAACTCAAAAGCATAGCAATGTACTTCAAAATGTATATGGGAAGTGGGATGAAAAGATAAGCTTGGTTTGCTGCCAAATATTTTGAAATCCATGCATATGAGTGGTTTTCTAAGTCTCATGGGAAATGTACATTAAGCATGGATGTCAATTTTTTTCTGACTCCAGAATAAATGTATGCTTTCATTCCATTTCCACGTACTTATTGAAGTGCTCTCATAAATAGATCTTAATGGAAAAATGGGTAACAAGCATCAAAGAATAGTACATTTACTATGAAGTTTCTTATCTCAGCTGCAACATTATTTAAGTGAATACTACCTACTTTATTATTAGGAATACTATAACCAAAAAATATCCCATAATGGTGATTTTTTAAAAGATTTATTCATTTATTTGAAAGGCAGAGTTAGAGAGAGGCAGAGGAGGAGAGCGAAGTCTTCCATCTGCTGGTTCACTCCCCAAATGGCTGCAACATCCAGAGTTGGGCCAATCCAAAGCCAGGAGCCAGGAGCTTCCTCTAGATCTCCCTCATGGGTGCAGAGGGCCAAGGAGTTGGGCCATATTCTACTGATGCCCCAGGCCATAGCAGAGAGCTGAATCAGAAGTGGAACAGCCGGGACTTGAACCCTGGGCCCTATGGGATGCCAGAACTGCAGGTTGTGGCTTCAGCTGCTAAGCCACAGCACCGGCCCCTGCAATGGTGATTTTTAAATGACTTTCTTTACTTGTGGGATAATCTATCAATAGAAAATGTGTCCAGGCAGCATGTTGCAGTAGATGCGGATGTAAAGGTACCCATAATTTAAGTGGACAATTATTTCATCAAATACTTGTCCAGAGCATCGAGCAAAATAGTTAAGTGTAAGTGGATTTCTTTTTTTATGCTAATTCTCATTCCTCTGAATATTCCCCAGTAAGTACCAGCTATCATTCCTAATAGAAACAGGTATTTCAATTAATGCAACCATTAAAAAACCAGAGAACACTAAAAGATCATGAAGGTTTTTATATTTATGCTCAAAACTTATATGATCCTCATCCAGGAAAATATCATCCCCAAAGCCAAAAATAAAAATCACCACCAGAAAAATTGTTTAAAGTAAATGTACAATCAGAGATGTGGTGCTTGATCTTTTATTTTCCTTTCAGGGTAGGTCTTTCTCTTCATGCTTAGTTCCTAAAATAGTAAATGACTCTTAATAAGTACTCTGTTTTAGGAAGAAAAAATTATGATAGACACCCTTGAGTGAAATCTACCACACAAGGGAATTTGTCCACTTGTTGCAGAGTAGGATATATCATTTTTTTTTTTTTTAAAAAGTACTTTAGTAGTAGAATATAGTTTACAAACCAGAATGAACTAGAACATTTAAAATCCCATTTCCTCCAGCCCCCTAGATAACTGCTTTAATGAAGTTCCTTGTTTAGAGGAGGCCTCATTTCCATTACAGATTTCTAACTTTCATTTTCAAAGCTTTCATTGTTCAAAGAGGCAACGGGAAAAAGCAAAAACCAAACAACTGACTGTGACTTCTGTAAAGCTACCTTTCCAGTGATACCCTATACTGGCCTTCATTACCTTTCTGGTGCATTAGTTTAAGGATTTGTACAGCTCTGAGTAAATTTCACCCTATGCCCTTATTGCTTTAATTAAAATCTTACATCCTCCTCAATATTCCATGCCAGACCACCTCTTCTTTCTTTATGAAATACCCTATGCTGCTTACTCTTTAATTCTTATATTTTTTCCTCCATCATTTTTATTTTTCCTTCCTTTTCTCAATATCTGTTGTCCCAAACTTCCTTACCCTAGAATATCTGCCTCTGTGCAGCCCAGGAATCCCCATCCTCTCTCCCTATTTTCTGTTTTAATCTAACCTAAGTAGAAAACTCCAAAATATGTGACTATTACTTTATGAACAACACTCAGTTTGAAATACTAAAGATAAATATTAGTGGAGGCAGACTATACAGTTTCAACATCTTGGTATATATTGCCAGTTTTCTATACCATCTGGATTTTTTTTCTCTATTTCTGTTGAAACAAGACTCTCAAGGAGTCACTGATTTAATTTTCTGTGTGAATAAAATTTTTTATTTTTATTTTTTGTGCCGAAACCCAGGATCGTGAATACAATTTAAGATTCAATATTTGAAAAGGAGCAGAGAGAATAACTGAAGAGCCAAAGTGACTCCATTTTAAAACAATAAAAAAAGCAGCCTCCATTTCCCATAGCAGACCCGAGTCCTTGTAAAAGCAGGCATTCAGGCATTCCAGAGATATCAAAGCTTACCAGGGACAGCTAGCTCGGTAGACCAAGGACAGCACAGTAGAGATTGCTAAGCAAAGTAACTCTATACCCAAAGCTCCCCTGCTGTAAGCCCCGCTGTAACTCCCTGTACCCAAAGCTCCCCTGCTGTAAGCCCCGCTGTAACTCCCTGTACCCAAAGCTCCTGTGCTGTAAGCCCCCACTGATGTAACTCTTTTTTCCTGCTGATGTAGCCTGTTTTCCTTTAAAAACTCTCCCAAACAAAGACGGGGGCCTCACTCCTTCCTCCGCTGCGCCGGTTGGTTGGATGGGGTCCCTGTCACGGCTTGTACTTTTAAAATAAACCTTGCTTTTGCAGTTCGGTGTGATCGGGTCACTGATAGCTTCTTGGGGATCTACTTACCTGGGCACAACATCTGGGGGCTCATCCTGGGATCCTCAGAAGCCCCCAGAGGCCTTATCCCCGAAGGTTTATACCAGTTGACTGGGTGAGTTCGTTAGTCTATTTGTTCGCTGTTTAACTGTATCTAAGTCTGAATTTGTAGCATCGGCTGCGGTTGCATTTGTAACCTTGAATTTGTGGGTTCTGCCCAAGTGGACATACTCATGGAGCAAACCTGGAGGAGACGGGAGACGTCCCGACTCCTCGCTTGGGTGAGGATTCCGATCTCAAAATCCTCCCATTTGGGACCTGGGAAGGTCCAAGTTGTAATTCGGGGGATGAGGAAGGGTTGCTGCAGAACCCTCGTCCCATCTGCACGGTCTTTGGTCTCATTTAGCCCCCAACTTCGGAGCCAGAGAGACCTTTTGTAATAAGACCATTTGATTATGGAAACTTCATATGGGCCCCGCGTTTGATTGGTTTTTTGTTAGGCTGTGTTTGTCTTGTCTTACTACTATTGACAACCGACTTTACCGGACAGAAAATGGGGGCGACTTCTTCCTCACCAATGGACCTCACTCTAGCGCATTGGAAAGACATTAAAAGAATGGCTCATAATAACAGTGTGGATGTAAAAAAAAAAAAAAAAGGCAATTGGGTTAGTTACTGCTCCTTGGAATGGCCCACTTTCGAAGTGGGCTGGCCCAAGGAGAGAACCTTTGATCTAAATATTATATCCAAAGTTGGAGATTTAGTTTTCCAGCCTCGAACCAGGCATCTGGACCAGGTGCCCTACATTGTAACCTGCAGAAGCCTTGTTGATTGAACCGACGGACCCCTCCCCTGGGTCAACTCTTTTCTACGTTCCGTTTCTAACCCATCTGCCCCCTCACACGTATTCCCTGTAAAACCAAGAGAAGAACAGAAACCGCAGTCTTCAGGGGGAAACGGATGAGTCTGAAATTTTCCCCCCACCTTGTTTTCCTCCTACAGGAAATGTTCCACCCCCACGAGAGAAGGCGGTGGGACAACAGGAGGAGCTGCCCCAGGGGCCAGCTCAGTCTGCTCGGAGTCGCGGGGGAGCCACTCCCCAGCCAGATACCACGGCGGCTCTGCCTCTTAGGCTGGAGCCCCATGGCACAAGGTAAGGAGAGACTCCGTGTCTGTTGCCAGGCTCTGCTACCGGGTCTCAAAGCGGGGGCACGCAAGATTGGCGCAAAATTCGAATTTGGCCTTAGAGACTGGCACGGACTAGGTAACTCTCCTCCCCCAGCCTTACCTCAAAAGTTGAACTTTATCTTAGAACCAGGTCTGGTCCAAAGTCTACTCTCCCTATCTTGTTAATGAAACAAATTGGGTATCTCACCCTTCTGATGGCTCTTCTGTTTTATCTCGAGCCAGCCGGAAGATATTGCTTTGTAACTTGCTGAACTTATTTTACAATTTATTTTAACAAATTTCTGGGAGGTCAGTACTCAATAAAACAGTAATAGGTAATTAGTACTTGTTTTAAATAAATACAATTTTAATTTAAATAAATTGAAATAGAGCTATATAATATCAGCATCTTAAGTCATTTAGGTGTAACTGCTAATTTAAATTGGGTAAAGACAAATGAGATAAATGTGTCTAAATGTAAACTTTGGTACTCTCAACACTTTATGTTCTATAGAAAATCTACTTGAATTTGCTAACATGTTTTCATAGATTGTCCATATAAAAAATAGTTCAACATCACTTAAAAGTAATTAATGCTGAAATTTGATGTGTTACTTTGTTTAGAAATGTTGTCTTAATTTGGAGATTTTTAATAGGTTATTTAAAAATGTAAAGCAAGGAAATTAACAGATGACAAACATCACAAGTATAAAAATATGTACTTAATAAAAAAGGTTAAAAAAGTTTTTTAAAATAAAAAAGACATGGTTTATAAAAATTACTTCATCCTGATGGCTAGTTTACTCTAAACTAAAATAAAAGTAATAAAATGTTTCAAGTAAGTTAAAAAGGGTGTGAAAAAGCCACAAAAAGTTATAAAAAAATTTTGGTTACAAAAGCTATTACTGATTCTCTGTTAAAGCAATGAGTTAAAGTAATCTATTATGTTCTCTTGATGTCTCTGTTAAATTCTAATTGTTTAAAAACAACTGAGTTTTTATTAAGAGCTATAGGTTATTTAAATATGTGTTTATTTTCAAACCTTTAAATAATCACCTTGTAACAATGATCAAATTTGGTCTATATTATGTCATGATGTTAAAAAATCTTATTTCAACTAGATATTCTGGATTTTGAGCCTTCTTGGCATCCTTGACAGGCATTCAAAAAAATCAAAAATCAAAGTTTCAAAAAATTTAGACTCTAAAATTTCCAGTAAATTTTGAACTTCGGGTTTTCCAGTTTGGTCCCAACTGAAAAAAATCAAAGAATATATATATATATCTCATCTTGTAGAGACACCAACTAATTAGGCTATTTGGAATATATTTAAAGTACTGTCAGGATGTAAAGTGGTGGGGCCGGCGCCGTGGCTCAATAGGCTAATCCTCTGCCTTGCGGTGCCGGCACACTGGGTTCTAGTCCCAGTTGGGGCGCCAGATTCTGTCCCGGTTGCCCCTCTTCCAGGCCAGCTCTCTGCTATGGCCCAGGAGTGCAGTGGAGGATGGCCCAACTGCTTGGGCCCTGCACCCCATGGGAGACCAGGAGAAGTACCTGGCTCCTGCCATCGGATCAGCGCGATGCGCCGGCCGCAGTGGCCATTGGAGGGTGAACCAAGGGCAAAAGGAAGACCTTTCTCTCTGTCTCTCTCTCTCTCTCACTGTCCACTCTGCCTGTCAAAATAAATAAATAAATAAATAAAAAGATGTAAAGTGGTGCTAAATTTTAAGTTTCTATAATATAAAATGGTATTAATACAAATGTCTAAAAATTAAAAAGTCTAATGATCTTGTGTTACTAAACATAATGGTCATCTTGGTAAGGGGGACCCAGAGGCCTAAAAGAGTTAAGTGTGCCTTGTGAAATCCTGCAGGTGCTTTCAAAAATGCTATGTAAAGTAAACAAGTGTCTCTTGTTGCTTGACAAGTTTGTAATTTTAAATATGACAACTTAAGGTCTTTTGTCATCCACAGTTTTGTATATCAGATTTACTGCTCGTAAAACTAAAGTGTTGTTGGTTCTGTGTTTAACTGTCCTCCTATAGGTTACAATGGACTTTTTCCAGAAACATCTATTGTATTCCGTTTTTTGGGATGACTCTGTAAACTGATAAAGCCAATAATGTATTACAAGTACCAACTAAAAAAAAAGTATAGTTAACTAAGGTTACTAAGATCAAAAAGTAATTCAAATCAATTGGTAATTTGTAAAAAAAAAAAAAAAAAGAAGGGTTAAAAATTTTAACAGCTATTACTGAAACTGCTTTATTGTTCTGATATATGTGACCCTGTAGTTTGATGTGAAACTAAAAACATTTTATATACTTGTGCTTAAATTTGCTGGACAAGCTACACCATGTTGGATATTTAAGAGATGTTTCCGAGTACATATATTCTTAAAATTTGTAAAGGACATTGAACCTTCTGGTAAGTGTTTTCCTAAGTTGTTGTCTAATGATTAAATCTGCTTGCTAAGTTTTCATTTGATATTACTCTTAAAATGTTTATGCATGGAAGATCTGCCCTGCCTTTTTGACCCTATTGCCATATATGATTATTCCTTGTGAGATTACTTAATTACTTAAATTTAAAACTAGCATAGGAAATCAAAGCCACTGCCAGAGTAACATATCACAGAGTAACATATCTGTTTTGCCTCTGGTGGTGCAAGGTTTTTAAGCATGGCTGGTAACTGGTAAGATTTCATAGTGACAATCTGGCAGTATCCTTGCATAGCTATTTGGGTAAGGACATAAGTCAGTTCTGTTAAAGGTCAACCATGTTCAGAAATCAGAGTAACTCAGCCCATCTAAATATTCATCAGAAACATGCCTATAACTATAGACTTCTTGTCTAGGAAACAAAAATTAGAGGTGGGACTGAGCACTCCCTTGACTTGCATTCTCTGGTCTGATTTAACAAGAACCAGGAGAAAAAAGAGAGCTGGACATCAAAAGCCATGTAAAGATGGGTGGCAGGCCTATTACAGGAAGCTCTGTGCAGTGATCTGCCCTCAGGAAGACCCAACAGGCCAGTCTACTGCGGTGGCTTCTGATGAGGTAAACCTGGGCTTCAGCAGAAGTCAGCTTATAAAGAGCCCTGGCAGCTCTGCCAGCCAAGAGTTGGGTCACTAAAAATGGACCTGCCCTGGAGTCGAAGGACTTCAGGTCAGAGCCACAGATCTTATTGACTCTAAACTGAAAAGCCCTTCACTTAGCCCAGCCTCCAAAGTGACCGCCACTGTTGAGAGAATGGCCAAGTAGGGTCAGTAACATTACAGACAGAGCTGTAAATTTCCTGTTGGAGATGCCACCTGCCTTTACCTGGCCAGCTCTCCTCCCAGGCCAAGTAAGTAATAAAAGTCAACAGAGTGCCTTCCCCAAGGAGGTTCACACCTCCCTTAAAATGTACCCTGTGTAAAAAGATAGATAGGTCTAGGCCCCTTAACTTACAAGGCCTAAAGCCCACCAGGTTATTATCAAGCCCCTTCTATCAGGTTCTCTTTGCCTCTCACTCGGAAAACTTATTTGTAACTTGGACAACACCTTTCTTGACTCCTCTAATAGCAACTCTGTCCTTTGTTCTGGATCCTGCATGGCCCTCTCCTGGGCCTCATTCCTTTGTAATTTTGTTGCTTATTAAAGTCAGTGGTATACAGACATTCTGTACATATCCTGTGGGGACAGCAGTAGTATCTCTTAAACAGTATTACCATAAGTAGTGTACTTCAAAATGTAAATTACATTGTTTAAAACTGTGACTTTAACATCTGTGTAATTAGTGCATATGGTATCTACTCTCCATTATCAAGATAATTCATTATTAGGTAAATTTGGCTAGTAGGGAGTACAGTTCTGTGAGCAGTGTTTCCTGTTAAATATCAACTACTCTCAGTTACACATAGCAGCAGGAGCTCTGCCTTGTTCGGGAAAAGTAAATGCACAAAGTTAAAAAGTTAAAGACATGCTGCAAATAACTAGTCATTATTCTGTGTATAAAAGCAGAGAAAAAATTAAACGCTAAGAATTTCTGTAAATTCTTTGTTCTCTGTAGTAGATTGCTGTTTATACTCCCAGCGTGTGTGTACTGATAATCCTCTCCCACACTAATGAGTGACTTTTCTCCTGGTCTTGGCTGCAATTTGCTTTATTCTCACCCTGTCTCTATACTACAGTGTCTGTTTAAGTGTTTACAGCTGGTGACAGAGCAAACCAAGGCCTTCGGCAACCAGGCGGTCAACCAAATGCTACTACAGGAATGTGCTCGGCTCCCCGCCCAGGAGACAGCAGCTTAAGACATCGCCCCATGGCAGCGAAGAGTGCCTCGTTGCCCCACATCAGGAGGGTTGGCTCTGAAGGTGGATTGTCATCCCTCTGCCCCTCCTGGACTTTTGAAACTGATGTGGTGGAAAAGAATGCTGCTCTTATGCCGATCACTCGGGCCTAATAAAAGATAACATGGCTGGCTAAGGTCAGGAAAGTTCTGGAAAAGTGCCAAAGAAACCGGGAGGCCTCCCAGGGATGGTTCGAGCTTGGTTTAATTTCTCTCCATGGCTCACCGCCCTCCTATCAGAAGTCATAGGGCCCATTATCCTTCTGATTTTAATTTTAACCATTGGCCCTTACATTATTAACAAACTTGTACAGTTTATGAAACAGAGACTGGGCACCATTCAATTAATGGTCCAGCGGTCCCAGTATAAACCCGTAAATGTTTGTAAAACCTATAAACTGTCCGTCCAAAACCCATGATTGGGTTTTTCAAACATGTACAAAAATAAGGGGGGAATGAAGAGCCAAAGTGACTCCATTTTAAAACAATAAAAAAAGCAGCCTCCATTTCCCATAGCAGACCCGAGTCCTTGTAAAAGCAGGCATTCAGGCATTCCAGAGATATCAAAGCTTACCAGGGACAGCTAGCTCGGTAGACCAAGGACAGCACAGTAGAGATTGCTAAGCAAAGTAACTCTATACCCAAAGCTCCCCTGCTGTAAGCCCCGCTGTAACTCCCTGTACCCAAAGCTCCCCTGCTGTAAGCCCCCACTGATGTAACTCTTTTTTCCTGCTGATGTAGCCCTTTTTTCCTTTAAAAACTCTCCCAAACAAAGACAGGGGCCTCACTCCTTCCTCCGCTGCGCCGGTTGGTTGGATGGGGTCCCTGTCGCGGCTTGTACTTTTAAAATAAACCTTGCTTTTGCAGTTCGGTGTGATCGGGTCACTGATAGCTTCTTGGGGGTCTACTTATCTGGGCACAACAATAACCAATCTACTATCCCATTGTAGCAAATGAGGAAATAGCTTTTCTGTGAGAGTTACGATTTGTCCAAAGTCAAATATCCCATAGATGTCAAAGCGAAATCTGATATTAAGTCTCCAGATTTATAGTTCAATACTCCACCCTGCATTCCAAGTTGTTTTGACTCTACTACTAAATTTAGGGTGAGAAAACATGTAATGAAGAACTTTTAAAGGTTTCTTTCCTTACCTGACATGGTCAGAGAAGAGGAAATATCAACGGTAGATATGAAGGTTGAAGAGACGATACAGAGGATGACTGGCTGGCCGGTGCCAGCAAGCACATGTGTCCAGTATGGAGGTCACTGGCTACTGGTCACTTGCGATGTTCCAAATTTGTTTACAGACAGCTCCATGGAAACCCCAAGATTCCACCAGGTGGTAGCAGGTTTGGTGGGAGAATGATGTCAAAAACAGGCAGTTAAAGGTCTGAGGTAGCCAATAGGGAGGTCAGGATTCCCAGTGGGAAGAGGAGATTGGGTGGAGGGAATGGTGGACAGCTGTAGTGGCATCTTTAACAGAGCTATGGCAGTTGAACTCTGGGATGGTGAAATCCTGTAAAGACAGACTTCCCCAGCCAAGCAGCTGTTAAACGGGGAAATCTTCTCAATGTTTCTCATACATGTTCATTAATGGAATCAATCAATGCTTACTTTCTGTGTATTGTATTTAGTATCATACACATTTGTACAGTTTCCTGGGTTGGAGAGGAAGGGAAGGGAAGTCCAGATTGAGCGGTTATGGTGCTTCTGAAAGGATCTAGTTGATCTGATTAGTGAACTCCCTGCAGCTTTTAAAGGCCCAAAGGAAGGGATCAAAGAGCTCTTTCTGTAACTTGGTTGAAGAGTAGAGTGAAGCTCATGGCGTGTTCCTTGTAGGGAACAATGGGTCCAAGGCTCTTCCCCAACAGTTTCTTCTTCCTTGGGCTGGGCTGGGCCAAGTTGGACTCACATCTTTCTTCTGCTCTCCTTTCTCCTTTTTGTCTTAGGCTTTGTTTCTGGGACAAGACTTGATTGGTGTTCTTCACTTACAGATATTACCTGCCGTCAACTTGCAGAAACAGGGTCTTCTTTTAGAAACAAACACTGTAGAATAGGAAGATACAGTTGACTACCAGTGCTCCTTCTCCTAGCCACAGGGAGTGATTCTTTTGCCCAGAGTTTGCCACTTCTGGTTCTTTGAGCCATACAGACATGCTGGCATCCTGTTTCTTTATATGTGAGAAGCATTTTGGATACTTTCTCTCTTCTCCAACAGGTTACTCCAGTGCAAGGCCAGACAAAATAAAAAGGAGAACAGTTAAAGAAGACATTAATGAAGATAGGGAACAGTCAGGGTGAGGGGTCGGGAGAAAAAAAAATACCTGTGGATTTTTTTTTTCTCTGAGAAACAAACTGACCTATTTTGGCTTTAGTTTGTGTTAGGAGAACAGTTAATTATAGACAATATATTAACATCTATTATATATTAATTATATTTATATTAATACAGCTACAAGTGTGGGCATTGTGGTGCAATGGGTTAAGCCACCAAGTGCAATGCCTGCATCCCATATCAGAGTGTCAGCTCAAGTCCCAGCACCTCTCTTAATGCATTTAGGAGGCAGCAGGTGAAGACTCAAGTGACATTCAGCTGGGAGACCTGGAAGGAATTCTGTGCTCCTGGCTTCTATATGGCTCAGCCCAAGCTGTTGCAGACATTTGGGGGAGTCAGTAAGTGGATAAAAGATCTTTCTATATTTCTCTATTTTTCTTTCTCTTTCTGTCTCGCTGTCACTCTCACTCTTTGAATTAAGATGAAAATAAATAACTGAACATTTAAAAATCATGCTGTATATAACTTGATACTTGATTAGTAACTCACCTTTAAAAATAAGGAAAAGTAGCTATGGAGTATGAGAACTGTCATGAATTCTGTACACTGAGGATAATAATGTGTTTTCCTATATAATTTTATGTCATTACCTCATTTATGTCATTTATTGATATATTTGTAGAATATAGATTGCTTTTAAAGGTCCTGGTTTTTCTACCCTTTTTTTCCCTTGTTATTTTTTGTAAAGATTTATGTATTTAGTTGAAAGGCAGAGTTATAGAGAGGCAGAGGAAGAGGCAGAGAGAGAGAGAGAGAGAGAGAGAGAGGTCTTCAACCCGCTGGTTCTCTCCTCAGATGGCCACCATGGTCGGAGCTGTGCCGACCCCAAGGCAGGAGCCAGGAGCTTTTTCCAGGTCTCCCACACGGGTGCTGGGGCCCAAGGACTTGGGCAATCTTCTACTGCTTTCTCAGGCCATAGCAGAGAGCTGGATCAGAAGTGGAGCAGCTGAGACTCAGACCAGTGCCCATATGGGATGCCAGCACTGCAGGAGGCAGGTTCCCTGGTACGCCACAGCATCCTCCCCACCTTGTCATATTTTTAAGGAACCCAACATTTTGATACATACCACACATTTTATCTTATTTTTTTTATTTGACTGGTAGAGTTATAGACAGTGAGAGAGAGAGAGAGAGAGAGGCAGAGAGAAAGGTCTTCCTTCCGTTGGTCCACTCCCCAAATGGCCGCTACGGTCGGAGCTGTGCCGATCTGAAGCCAGGAGCCAGGTGCTTCTTCCTGGTCTCCCATGCGGGTGCAGGGGCCCAAGCACTTGGGCCATCCTCCACTGCCATCCGGGCCACAGCAGAGAGCTGGACTGGAAGAGGAGCAACTGGGACTAGAACCGGCGTCCATATGGGATGCTGGCGCCGCAGGCAGAGGATTAACCAAGTGAGCCACGGCGCTGACCCCCTCATTTTATCTTATTTTAAATATGTATTTCTCTGAAAAGCAGAGCAGCAGAGAGAGAGAGAGCTCTTGCATCCATTGGTCCACAGATCACAGCAGCCCTGTCTGGGCCAGGTCAAAATCAAGTGCCAGGAACTCCTGTTCTCCCACATGGGTGGCAGGGGCCCAAGGAACTTGGGCCATTATCTGTTGCCTCTCAGGCACATTAACAGTAATGGATCAGAAGCAGAGCAGTTGGGACTCTAACTGGTACTCTGATACGGGATGCTGGCATTGCAAACTGTGGCTTAACACACTGCACCACGCTGGCTCATGGTTTCTCCTTGATGACTGGTTTTTTTTGGAAGTATTGTGAGCTAATTTGACCTGGTGGATTCTGTGGGGAAAATTAATGAGAGGCTCTGTGAGAAAGGCATTGTGATGAATTTTTGTGCATCCAAGAACAGATTTCTGCAGCTTGATTTTCTTATATATATATTTTTAGCTGTTGCCCTGGTTCATACTTTTCTCATTAACTGCTCCTGTGACTGTGAAAAAGTAAGTTATCTGTGAGTTGCTAATGATTTATGTGTGCTTTATTATGTGGTTTGGATGAGGAAATCTATGGATATAATGATTTTCCTTGATGTTGGGCTTTTAAGGATGCTTTGTTCAAGCTATCTGGTGACTTATCTAGTGCCAGTGTGTAATCCTGTGAGCCCACAGGAAGAAAAACTCATAGATAGGGCATCTAAAGTGAATATTGCATCTATTTTACCCATCTCTTCCAATAGTGCTTCTAGTGTATATTATGAGGTACATTTTTTTTTTCATTGGTTTTCAGGGCATAGCATATATCTGAGAAGAAAGTATAAAAAGTGTGGCTGTGTAGAGATATGGCTGAAGCCATATACATTTTTTTCAACCCTTGTCCCCCATTGAACTCAGCTTTATAACTCAGGTGATCTATCTCAGGACTACCAGTCTGTAATAGGTACGGATGAAATACCAGTAACATAGATTAGATGGACCAGTCTCAAGTTTCTCCATGTTCCCATAGGTATCAAAGCAATTATTAGCTAATACAGGTTATTGATGGGAGATGTAAGAATGGAGTGAGGTAGAATCATTTCTAATAACAATACAATGTTTACATATTAAGATATTCAGTTCATGGGGTTAGTGTTGTGGTCTAGCAAGTAAAGCAGTTGCCTGTGACACTGGCAATCTTATATGGGTACTGGTTCGTGTCCTAACTGCTCCACTTCCAAACCAGCTCCCTGCTAACGGCCTGGGAAGAGCAGTGGAAGACAACCCAAGTACGCTAGCCACTGCCACCCATGAAGGAGACCTGGATAAAGCTCCTGGCTTAGGCCTAGCCCAGCCCTGGCCATGTGACTATCTGGGGAATAAACAACAGATGGAAGATCTCTCTATCTCTCTCTTTCTCCCCCCCGCCCCCTCTCCCCCTCTACCTCTCTCCCTCTCTCCCTTTCCCTCTCTCTCTGTAACTTTCAAAGAAATAAATAAATCTTTGTAAGAATATATTCATTTCTAGCACTCAGTTCTGTTTAGGAAAATGCTTTCGTTTTTAGAGATTTTTTTTTTTGAAATGGAGAATCTCTTTCTCATGTCTCTCTCTCTTCTTTTTTTTAAGATTTGTTTATTTATTTGAAAGTCAGAATTACACACAGAGAGAAATAGAGGCAGAGAGACACAGAGAAAAGTAAGTCTTCCATCTGATGGTTCACTCCCCAAATGACTACAACGGCCGGAGCTGTGCCGATCTGAAGCCATGAGCCGAGAGCTTCTTTCGGGTCTCCCATGTAGGTGCAGGGGACCAAGGGCTTGGGCCATCTTCTACTTCTATCCCAGGCTATAGCAGAGATATTGATCAGAAGTGGAGCGGTCAGGTCTCGAACTGGCGCCCATATGGGATGCCTGCACTGCAGGCAGCAGCTTTACCTGCTACACCACAGCACCGGCCTCTCTCTCTCTCTCTCTCTCTCTCTCTCTCTCTCTCCCCTCCCTCTCTCTCTCTTTCACACACACACACACACACACACACACACACACACAGAGGTTTCATGTACTGGTTTACTCCTATGTCTGCCGTGGCCAGGGCTGTACCAGGCCAATGCCAGGAGCCTAGGACTCTCCATCTGGGTCTCCCTGATGGGTGGCAGGGGCCGAAGCACTTGGACCACCTTCTGCTGCTTCCCCAGGCACATTAGCAGGGAGCTAGATCAGAAATGGAGCAGCTGGGACTTGAACCAGAGCTCTGATACAGGTTACTGGCATCACAAGTGGTGACTTAAACCCACTGTGCCACAATGCTGGCCCCAACGAAAATGCATTTTTTAGTTTGGCTTTGGGTCCCCAGCCTCTATATTTACTCTCCATAGTGTCAGCCACTTAAGATTAATTTACAGTTTCAGCATCATTTTGACTTCTAAAATAAATCATATTATATATACATCTTATTATATATCACATAAAATAGCATCATTATAAAGCTTACATTCTTAGGAGGAAGACGGTAAAGAGCTTTGTCCTGAATTTTGAAACTTAGCATCAAGTCCTCCTTGACCTGAAGCCTGAGTTTTATAGTTATGGCATTGTCTTGTTCTGGGGGCTCACTCCCTGCATTTTGTATGCATCAGGGTAACTGGGACTTACACTGGTATGACATATCCAGGCCCTCTACCCCGCATCTTTTCCTTACTCTCTCCATTGTCTTTTGGATTTATTGAAGACTGGAATTCTTCAAAATCCTACATGGTACATGTAGTTGGCCCTACTGGATACCAGTAGATTTTGTTAGTGTCAAGTACTTAGCTGTATATTGCTCCAAATACACCTTGCTTCCACCTTTTCCATTCCAATGTATTACTTGGAAGATATTCTTTTACTTCATTTCAGACCAATTCAGATTCAAGGGCCTACTCTTTGCTAGGTCTCATACTTTCTGGATATCCTGTTCTGCCTGGATCTAAATTCTGTTGGGGTAACTGTAAATGAGTTTGTTCTCACTCCAAGTTTGTGTCTTTTACAAAATTGTCTTTAGGGTCCGGCATTGTGGCATTGCAGATAAAGCTGCTGCCTCTGATGCTAGCATCCCATATGGGTGCCGGTTCAAGTCCCAGCTGCTCCAATTCCCATCAAGCTCACTGCTAATGCGCCTAAGAAAGCAACAGTGGATGGCCCATGTGCACCCACATGGGAGATCTAGAAGAAGCCCCTGGCTCGTGGCTTCGGATCAGGCATTTGGGGAGTGAACCAGTGAATGGAAGATGAATCAATCAATCAATCTCTGTCTCTGTCTCTCTCTGCCTTTCAAATAAATAAATATTTTTTTAAAAAATTGTCTTTTGGGACAATATAGCTTATCTAGTTTCTAGACACTTGTACCATTTGGACCTTATGGCCAGTACACATTTATTGGATATTTTTTCATAAGTTCCAAGAGAGCACTAATAATTTTTAATAAAACTTTATTTTTTCCATCTGATTGAAAGGCAGAATGACAGAGACAGAGAGATCTTCCGTCTGTTGGTTCAGTCTCTAAATGTGGGCAACAGCCAGATCTGGGCCAGACCGAAGCCAGGAGTCCAGGCACTTGAGTAACCATCTTCTGCTTTCCGCTTTCCGGGATGAAATAGCAGGAAGCTGGAATTGGAAGAGGAGGTGCCAGGACTCCAACAGGCACTCTGATGTGGGATGTGGGTGTCACAAGCAGCAGCTTAACATGCTGTGCTTCAGTGCCTACCTTGAATATTTTATAATTTTGTGCCAGATTCTAATATGATTAATTGTAGGTTTGTAGACCGTTATTCCAACTTCTTTTCTTCTCCTGACTAGCTATTTGTTAATATGGAGCCATTTTTAATTATGTGGAAATTTCAATAATTGTCAATGTTTGTGGATTTAAACTTGGAGCATTACTGTCCTAAAAATGCCAAAGTGCGTTATCTTTTCACCCATTAATTCATTTATTCAGTAACTGACCTTTCTGAACTTTGGTTTACTCAGCTCTAAAATTATTGTGACGATTACATAAGATAATTTCAGAAATTAGAAACTAAAGAGCAAAAATTATTTTTAAAATCTGGCATCATGATTTAATCTGGAATTTAGTACTCTGCACCCAGGCTGTCTTCCCCTGCCTCCAGGTGCATTAGCAGAAAGCTGGATCAGAAGTGGAGAAGCTGAGGCTCAAGCCTGCATTCTGAAATGGAATGCCAGTGCCACAGTGCCAGCTTAACTTGCTGCTGGCCCCTTAGCCCTCTGTTTTGCCTCAAGACTGGCCATGCTGTTCCTTCCTGCTCCACTTGTAGCAGAATTCATAGTTCTTCTAGTAGGTGTTTATGACACATCCTTATGTATGATACTGTGTAGAATTCTTGGACTTGAGTTTCACTCTTACCTCGCTGTGGTTTTTGTTATTTGCTAAAATACACATAGGTGATGTGCACTTCTAGCATGATAACTGGCATGTGATTGGAACCAATAAAAGTTTGTCTGTAGAGGGGATTGTAGGTTGATACAATATTTTGCAATAATAGGGTAAATAGCAGATATCTTTCAACAATTTTGGTTTGTATATCCTTCAATTCCAGCAATTATAGGAATTTAGATGTAGTTAGATGAAGATATTCACATTGCTTTATTGTCTGTGATGGAAGACCAAAAAACCCAACTAGAACCACAAAACTGAAAACAACTAAAAGTTCATCGATATTGGATCAGTTAAATAAATTATGGTACCTTAGCTTGTGTTACTTATTATAACATTTAAAAAAATTTATGTACATTGAATGTCGACTGGGAAAAAAATGTTCGGAATATATTGCAGAATGTGGATAATATGCAGCTTTTAAATAAATCAGGATATCCATTTACGTGAAAGTATTTATAGGCAATATGCAAAGTGCGCATGTAAGCACTTGAAAATATCTGGAAGAACACACAAGTAACTGGGGGCAGTGGGCCCTCACACTCCTTGTCCAGCACTACTCCAATTTCCAAGGGTACAAACTCCAATTCATCGACCTGTGCTACCAGCAGTCGATCAAAGAGGGCGCAATAGCTACCAAAGTCCTGTTTACAAGTCAAGCGTCTCAGTAAGCCGGCGTGGTTACGTCATCACGACGCGCGGTGGCGCACGCGCAGTTGCGAGGTGCCGGGACGCTGCGTGGTTTGCTTTCGATTCAGGGTCTTATTTTGGCACCGAGGGCGCGGGTCTGGCGGCTTTGGTTCGCTTGGTATTGCGTGGGCGGCATTTTGGGACCCACATGAGCCAGTGGCATCATGCCCGCAGTGATCGGAGCCGGGGACGCGACTCTTCCGGACGTTCCTCAGGCAAGAAGAAGGGCAAAAACCACATTCCGGAAAGGTAGTGTATGTGTCTTGCTCGTAGCTTCTGGCCGTCGGCGCGCGCTTGGTCAGTCCGCCCTTGCTTGGGGGCGCGGACCCTTTCCTTGCACCCCACCCCGCCCCGCGCATCCCGGAGAGCTTGAAGGGTAAAGTGTGATGTTTTGTGATTTCGCTCCATCCTTCTCAAAGCGAGACTTTGGGCGTTGCTTCTCAGGTAAAATAGGAAAAGATTGTTTTAAGGCAGTAGTGGTGGTGTTGAGGACGCTCCTTAATTACTAAAGTTGAACTCCCCACTCCTTCAGTTGCTTAGGTTATGTTATTTGGCACCAGAAACATGAATAGTAAGGTCTAAGTTTGAGTGGCAGAACCCCCCAGTACTGCGCTGAGATCTGTGGAAAGTTGCTTTGTATTGTTTTTGGGAATCACGAAGGGCACGCTGTTGCTTTCTGAAATTGTCATTTGAGACAGCTTCCTCCATACGTCCCGGTAGTTAACTTTGAGACCTTGCTCATCTGTTCAGTGGAGTGTTGTGAATCCTTGAGACCTTCCTCTTCCCCAGGTCATCGCTCCTTAAGTCGTCTTCCTGGATACTTTTCAGGCTGTCAACTTCCTGCCTTCAACATGATCATATGGGTCTTGTCTCATCTATTGCAGTTGGGTCCTGACTAGTGTCTATTTATCTTTCCTTCCAACCCATCGTCACACAAGAACTCTTAAATAGGTAATTAGTTAAAAATTATAGGTGGAATATTGCTCAAAAGCATTGCTTTAAAAATAAAAATAAATCCCTTGTCATAGCCTGTTATACATAATTCTGCATGGGCTTTGATCCTCTCTGCTTGTCCAGCCCCATCCCTTGCCATTCATGACCTCACCTGTGCTTCAGATAAACTGAACTAACCCTTGATAATTCTAACTCTCCCTACAGAAGTCAGCTCAGCTATTAACATTTCAGTGTGACTCCCAGCATAATTAGATGAAGTTCACAGTCCTTTTCTATCAAGTTTTCTCTTAAAATATGAACTGACATTTCCTACTGATGGATTTGATGGCATTAGTTGTATGAAGACTTAAAGCTGTGAAGTGAAGGAATTGAATTTAAACTTTGTCAATCAACATATATTTATTAACTGGCACCCTAGTGTTTGCTACTGGTTTAGATTTTATCTGGGATATAGAAGTCCTGGCTAGAGGCCAGTGCTATGGCATAGAAGGTAAAGCTATCACCTGCAATGCCAGCATCCCATATGGGCGCTGGTTCAAGTCCAGGCTGCTCCACTTCCAATCCGGCTCCCTGCTAAAGTGCCTGGGAAAGCAACGGAAGGTGGCCCAAGTGCTTGGGCCCCTGCACCCATGTGGGAGACCCAGAAAAAACTCCTGACTTCTGGCTTTGGATTGGCCCAGCTCCGGCTGTTGAAACCATTTGGGGGGTGAACCAGTAGATGGAAGACCTTTCTCTCTCTCTCTCTGTCTCTGCCTCTCTGTCACTCTGCCTTTCAAATTAAATAAATAAATCTTAAAAAAAAAAAAAAAAGTCTTGGCCATACTTGGTTTAGTATGCCTTATTCTTATTTGTAGTGTATCTTTTTTTCTTTTCTTTTTAAGAGTTACTTATTTGAAAGGCAGAATGACAGGGACAAAAATCAATCTTCCATCCCCTGGTTCATTAATAAAATGCAATGGCTAGGTCTGGGCCAGGCTGAAGCCAGCAGCCAGAATTGCATACCAGTCTCCCACATCGCTGGCAGGATCCAGGCACTTGTGCTGTCTTCTGCCTTCCTACATGCGTTAGCAGTAAGCTGGATTGGAAGTGGAGTAGACCGGACTCATACTAGCACTCTGATGTGGAATGCCAACATTGCAAGCTGTGGCTTAAGGCTGAACCAGCTGCACCACAACACTGGCTCCTGTGGAGATCTTTGCACTGTTGCGTTGCCTTGTATATGTTTTCAATATGGGGAGCTAGGAAGAAGGCAGGTATGGGTTGCTATTAGATGAGAGTGAAAAAGTGAAGTGGCAAAATGCAAAGCAGAGAAAAGAGAGGATGGACTGTGATTCCCAAGTTCAAGGAACTTTCATTCTGTACAGGGGGGCAAGGCTGACACACATTTGACTAACAAAAATGTTCTCATAGGTGGAAAGACTATCTCCCAGTTGGACAGCGGATGCCTGGAACTCGTTTCATCGCTTTCAAAGTTCCTTTGCAAAAGGTAAGTGCAGTGGTTTGAGTGTGTCCACCAAAGGTTCTTGAGCTGGGAGCGTGGTCCCAGTGTGGCAGTGTTGAAGAGTGGAACCTTTAGGAGGTGGGGCCTACTACAAGGTAACTAGGTCATGGGGACGCCACCCTCGGAGTGCATTAATGCTGGTCTCACCAAGTGAGTGAGTTCTCGAGGAAGCGAAGTATTACACAGCGAGGCCACTCAGTGTGCTTTGCTGCTTCTGCACGGAGCCCTTTACTTGCCATTTCTCTAGCATGTTGTGACCCAGCCAAAGGGGCCCTCCCCAAAGGCTGAACTGATGGGGCTGCCTGATGTTGGGTTTCCAGCCTCCAAAAGCTGTGAGCCGAATAAACTTCTTTTGTTCATAAAGTTCTCAACCTCAAGTGTTTTGTTGTAGTAGCAGAAAATGTACCAAGACAGTAAACAAATGTTAATTCAGTCAAAAGTCTGAGTTCATCTTGTAGGACACTGATTCTTAACCCTATCACAATCCATTTTCCTTCTTTATAGTAAGTACTTTATTTTTTTTTTTTTTTTAAGATTTATTTATTTGAGAGGTAGAGTTATAGAGAGAGGGAGAGACAGAGAGAAAGGTCTTCCACATGCTGGTTCATCCCCAAATGGCCACAGTGGCCGGATCTGGGCTGATCCGGAGCCAGGAGCTTCTTACATGTCTCTCATGTAGTTGCAAGGGCCCAAGCACTTGGGCCATCTTCTGCTTCCCCAAGCCATTTCAGAAAGCCGGATCAAAAGAAAACAACTGGGACACGAACTGGCACCCACATGGGATGCCGGTGCCACAGGTGGAGACCTAGCTTACTGTGTCACAGCCCCAGCCCCCCAAGTACTTTATAATGTCTTCTTGATTATCCTGAAATTAAATTTACATATAATACAACCTGTTGCCATACCTAATTTTAAAGAAAAAAAATCTATTTAACACCTTAACCATAATGTAAAAAAAAACAAGGCCAGCATTATGGCACAGTGAGTTAAGCTGATGCTTGTGACCCAGGCATCACATATGAATGCTGGTTCAAATCCCGGCTGCTCCACTTCTGATCTGGCTCCTTGCTAATGCACCTAGGAAAGCAGTGGATGATGGCTCAAGTACATGAGACACCTGGATGGCATTCCGGGCCATAAATTGCCAGGGAAATTCTAAAAAAGAAGACTTCTGGAATGAGGGACATCATCTGGATGTACCAGATACTAAGCCATATCAAAAGTGTGTAGTTAAAGGATTTTCTTTTTCTTTTTTTTAAGATTTATTTATTTGAAAGAGTTACAGAGAAAGGTAGAGACAGAGAGAGAGGTCTTCCATCCGCTGGTTCACTCCCCAAATGGCCACAATGGCCAGAGCTACAATTGGTGCCCATATGGGATGCTGGCACTGCAGGCCAGGACTTTAACCTGCTACAAAACAGCGCAGGCCCCACAGTAAAGGATTTTCAAGGCAGTGAAACTATTCTTTGTGATACTATAAGGGTGATACATGTGAATACATATTTGTCAAAACCCATAGAATGTGCAGCATAAAGAGTGTGCCATATGTGTGTGAGCTGTGGACTTGGTTGATTATGATGTGTCAGTGTTGATTCAGTGACTGTAACAAGTAGACCACACTGGTATAGAATGTTCATGATCGGGAAGAAGTCTGCGGGAATCGTCTGTCTTTAGCATAGTGTGGCGGGAACCCAAAACTACTCCAGAAACTTAAAGTCTATTAATTTAAAAATATTTATTTATTTGAAAGGCAGAGTTACAGAGAGGCAGAGGCAGAGAGAGAAAGAGAGAGAGATCTTCCATCTGCTGGTTCACTCCCCAAATGGCCACAATGGCCAGAGCTGATCTGGTCTAAAGCCAGGAGTCAGAAGCTTCTTCCGTGTCTCCCACATAGGTGCAGGGGCCCAAGGACTTGGACCATCATCCACTGCTTTCCCAGGTGTATTAGCAAGGAGCAGGATCAGAAGTGATGCAGTTGGGACCTGAAACTGTCTCATATGGGATGCCAGCACCACAGGCGGAGGCTTTACCCAGTATGCCACAGTGCTGACTCCAGTCTATTAATTTGTTTTAAAAGTGTGTTGCTGGGGGCCGGCACCATGGCTCACTTGGTTAATCCTCCGCCTGTGGCACCAGCATCCCATATGGGCGCCGGTTCTAGTCCCTATTGCTTCTCTTCCAGTCCAACTCTCTGCTGTGGCCCGGGATGGCAGTGGAGGATGGCCCAAGTGCTTGGGCCCCTATACCTGCTTGGGAGACCAGGAGGAAGCACCTGGCTCCTGGCTTCGCATCGGCGCAGCACCGGCCGTAGCGGCCATTTGGGGAGTGAACCAACGGAAGGAAGACCTTTCTCTCTGCCTCTCTCTCACTGTCTGTAACTCTACCTGTCAAATAAAAAAAAAAAAAAAAGTATATTGCTGGCACTTGAGCAGCCTGACATGTCAGGTCACATACATGAAAGAATAGTTAGAAATAAAATCCGTCTTCCATGTGTGTAGATGTGTAAGAAGTACTTACAAGCACTGAATATGATGGACATACCACTTGTGGTAGGAGAGACAGTGGTGAAGAGAATCAGGTTGGTCTCTGCCTTCTGGAGGTTTGTGACTTGATTAGGAGACCAACATGATATAAATAAACGTGGAAAACAATACATAGCGAGTTTTTTTTTCCCCTTCAGGCAACTCTGGAAGAAAGGATCATAATATCTAGTTTCTACATCCCAGAAAAGTGGAAACTTAGGTTTGAATTTTGATGTATATTAGCACCCAGAACTTGAGTACATGCATGCTGTGCTAATCCATTTGAAGCACACATTGACTCTCTCTTATTCTCTTTGACAGAATTTTGAAAAGAACCTTGCTCCAGAAGAATGCTTTTCCCTTTTGGATCTTTTTAACAAGATCCGAGAACAAAATGAAGAGCTTGGGCTTATTATTGATTTAACATATACTCAACGCTATTATAAACCAGAGGTAAATGGAACCTTTAACTGAAAAGAAATTTTTTCATTCGAATGCTAAAGTACTTCATAGTATTTCAGTAATTCATTAAGCTGCCTTTCATGGATAATAATTTTAGAAGGGAATGAAACAATTTCCTTAATATGTTTTTTGTTTTGTATCATTTTGTTTGGAGACCCATAGAGACAGAAAGAGTTCCCATTCACTGGCTCATGTCCAGGCTGAAGCTTGGAGATGGGACCTCAATTCAGATCTCCCACATGGGAAGCTTCAACCCAGTTATTTCAGCCATCACTGCTGCCTCCTGAGGTTTGCATTAGCAGGAAGCTGGAATCAGGAGCTGGAGCTTGGTATGGAACCCAGGGACTCTGATCTGGACTTGAGCATCCTAACTAGTGTGTTAACCTCTAGACTAAATACTTGTCCTTAACAAAATAAAGTATGAATTGAACTATAACATTTAGCGTTAGATTGGGTGTTTAAGAAATCATATAAGCTTCTACTCTATATTTTGAAAATGAAGTAAGTTAGTAAAATAATAGTAGCCTGAAAGAAAAAAAAAAAAGGAAATATCTGTTACATCTTTAGCATAATTAAATTTTCTTTTCATTTTATTTGAAAGGCAGAGAAACAGAGGGAGAGAGATCTTATATCTGCTGGTTCACTCCCTAAGTGCCTGCAATGATCAGGCCTGGGCCAGGACAAAGCCAGGAGCCTAGAACTCAATGCAAATCTCTCACATGGGTGACAGGGACCCAAGTACTTGAACCATCATCTACTGCCTCCCAGGGTGCACATTAGTAGGAAGCTGGATGGGAAACAGAGGTAGGACTCAATCCCAGGCCCTACTGTTAGGGGCATGCATTCCAAGTGGTAGCTTAAGCCAATGCACCACCATGACTGCCCCTCTTGAGTCCTTCCAACACAGCCTTGTAGTCTTAAGTCACTTTTTAAAAATTATATGTATTAATTTGAGAGACAGTACTCCCATCTGCTGGTTCACTGTCCACAGTGACTGGGGCTCGTTCATGCTAAAGCCAGGAGCCAGGAACTCAATCCAGGTCTCCCACATGAGTGGCAAGGACCTGACTGTTTAAGCCATCACCACTTCCTCCTAGGGCTTGCATTAGCAGGAGGCTGGAATCTGGACCTGGGAGTCGGACCCAGGTACTCTTGATGTAGGACACATTGTTTTAACCACTAGACCAATACCTCCAATTTTTGACCACTGTTGTTACTATTTGTATATAAAAGAATTCCAGGCTCAATTCATGCATTTCTTTTTTTTTTTTTTTAAGATTTATTTATTTATTTGAAAGTCAGAATGACACAGAGAGAAGGAGAGACAGAGAAAGAGGTCTTCCATCCGCTGGTTCACTCCCTGTTTGGCCACAGTGGCTGGAGCTGCGCCGATCTGAAGCCAGGAGCCAGGAGCTTCTGGGTCTCTCATGTTGGTGCAGGGACCCAAGGACTTGGGCCATCTTCTACTGCTTTCCCAGGCCATAGCAGAGAGCTGGATCAGAAGTGAAGCAGCCAGGACTCGAACTGGCACCCATATAGGATGCTGGAACTGCAGGCAGTGGCCTTACCCACTACGCCACAGTGCTGGCTCCTTTGTGTTTCTTTTTTTTTTTTTTAATTTATTTTTTTGACAGGCAGAGTGGACAGTGAGAGAGAGAGACAGAGAGAAAGGTCTTCCTTTGCCGTTGGTTCACCCTCCAATGGCCGCCACGGCCAGCGCGCTGCGGCCGGCGCACCGCGCTGATCCGATGGCAGGAGCCAGGAGCCAGGTGCTTTTCCTGGTCTCCCATGGGGTGCAGGGCCCAAGCACCTGGGCCATCCTCCACTGCACTCCCTGGCCATAGCAGAGAGTTGGCCTGGAAGAGGGGCAACCAGGACAGAATCCGGCGTGCCGGCGCCGCTAGGCGGAGGATTAGCCTAGTGAGCCGCGGCGCCAGCCTCCTTTGTGTTTCTTATCCCAACCCAGACTCAATCATTTTTACAAGGAGCTTTGATTGCTCTTAGTGGGAATGGTATTTAGAGATTACCACCTGAGTGCTAGAGGTGTTCATCGCTAATAGTCTGATTTTATTTCTAGCTATTTCTGTGGACACAGCTGGGAAATAGTCTCTTAGGTTTGTAATATAATGGGGCCGGTGCCATGCTGCAGTGGGTTAACACCCTGGCCTGAAGTGCCGGCATCCCATAGGGGCGCTGGTTCGAGATCTGGCTGTTCCACTTCCTGTCCAGCTCTCTGCTGTGGCCTGGGAAAGCAGTCGAGGTTGCCCCAAGTCCTTGGGCCCCTGCACCCACGTGGGAGACCGGGAAGAAGCTCCTGGCTCCTGGCTTCGGATCAGCGCAGCTCCATCCATTGCGACCAATTGGGGAGTGAACTATTGGATGGAAGACCTCTCTCTGCCTCTCCTCTCTCTGTGTAACACTTGACTTTCAAGTAAAATAAATAAACCTTTTAGGCCGGCGCCGTGGCTCAATAGGCTAATCCTCCACCTTGCGGCGCCGGCACACCGGGTTCTAGTCCCGGTCGGGGCGCCGGATTCTGTCCCGGTTGCCCCTCTTCCAGGCCAGCTCTCTGCTATGGCCAGGGAGTGCAGTGGAGGATGGCCCAGGTGCTTGGGCCCTGCACCCCATGGGAGACCAGGAAAAGCACCTGGATCCTGGCTCCTGCCATCGGATCAGCGCAGTGCGCCAGCTGCAGCGGCGGCCATTGGAGGGTGAACCAACGGCAAAGGAAGACCTTTCTCTCTGTCTCTCTCTCTCACTGTCCACTCTGCCTGTCAAAAAAAAAATAAATAAAAAAAAATAAAATAAATAAATAAACCTTTTAAAAAAAGTTTTTGATATAAGATAGATCATGAATTCATATTGATACTTTCCATTTAAACTCAGAACTGCAGGATTTTCACTTAAATGCCTGTTTATTTATTTATTTTTATTTTATTTTTTGACAGGCAGAGTTAGACAGTGAGAGAGAGACAGAGAGAAAGGTCTTCCTTTTTCCGTTGGTTCACCCCCAAAATGGCCTCTACGGCTGGTGCGCTGTGCTGATCCGAAGCCAGGAGCCAGGTGCTTCTCCTGGTCTCCCATGTGGGTGCAGGGCCCAAGCACTTGGGCCATCCTCCACTGCCTTCCTGGGCCACAGCAGAGAGCTGGACTGGAAGAGGAGCACCCGGGACAGAATCTGGCGCCCCAACCAGAACTAGAATCTGGGGTGCCGGTGCTGCAGGTGGAGGATTAGCCAAGTGAGCTGCAGCGCTAGCTACTGCCTGTTTTTTTAATCTGTAACTTTTTTTTTAAAGATTCATTTTATTTATCTGAAAGGCAGAGTTACAGAGATAGAAGGAGAGACAGAGAGAGAAAGCTTCCATTTGCTAGTCCACTCCCCAGATGGCTGCAACATGCAAGGCTTTGCCAGGCTGAAGCCAGGAGCTTCATCTGAGTCTCCCACGTGGGTGGCAGAGGCCCAAACACTTGCAGCATCTTCTGCTGCCTTTCCCAGGCCATTAGCAGGGAGATGGATCAGAAGTAGAGCAGCTGGGACACGAACCAGTAACTGTATGGGATGCCATATAGTTATATGGGTGGCTTTATTTGCTACGCCACAACACCGGCCCTGTTTTTTGTTTTGTTTTTGTTTGTTTGTTTTTTAAATATTTACTTATTTCAAAAGTAGACTAATGGGGCTGGCACTGTGGTGTAGTGGGTAAAGCCACTGCCTGCATTGCTAGCATCCCATATGGGCACTGGTTTGAGTTCCTGCTGCTCCAGTTCCGATCTAGCTCTCTGCTATGGCCTGGGGAAGCACTAGAAGATGGCCCAAGTATTTGGGCCTCTGCACCGTCTGGGAGACTTGGAAGAAGCTCGTGGCTTCTGGCTTTGGGTCAGCACAGCTCTGGCCATTGTGGCTATCTGGGGAGTGAAGCAGAGGATGGAAGACTTTCTCTCTCTCTCTCTCTCTCTCTCTCTCTCTCTCTCTCTTTCTGTCTCTCTATAATTCTGCTTTTCAAATAAATAAATAAATGTTTTAAAATAAATAAATAAAAAGTAGATAAACAGAGGGAGAGAGAGAGAGATACTCTTCCATCTGCTGGTTCATTCCCCAAATGGCCACAACAGCCAGGTCTGGGTCAGGCCAAAGCCAAGAGCCAGGAACTCAGCCTGGATCCCCCATGTGGGTGACAGGAGCACACATACTTGGTCCATTCTCTGCTTCGTTGGCAGGTGCATTAGCAAGGAGCTGGATTTGAAGCAGGGCAGCTGTGACTTGAACCAGCACTCTGATTTGGGATGCTGGTGTTCCAATGCAGCCCAACCCACTGTGCCACCCGCCTGCCTGCCCCTATTTTGTTCTTCATTGATTTTCTTCCACTTCAGGAATACCAGGGCTCAACAGTGCCTGGAATTTGCTGTGTCTCAAAATTCATATCCCAATCCTTCTGACTCTTTTTTAAGATTTATTTATTTATTTGAAAGAGTTACACAGAGAGAGGAGAGGCAGAGAGATAGAAGTCTTCCATCTGCTGGTTCACTCCCCAGTTGGTGGCAATGGCTGGAGCTGCACTGATCCGAAGCCAGGAGCCAGGAGCTTCTTCTGGGTCTCCCACGTGGGTGCAGGGGCCCAAGCACTTGGGCTATCTTCCATTGCTTTCCCAGGCCATAGCGGAGAGCTGCATCGGAAGTGGAGCAGCCAGGTCTCCAACCAAGGCCCATATGGGATGCTGGCACTGCAGGCAGCGGCTTTACCCGCTACACCACAGTGCCGGCCCCTTTCTTCTATTGTACTTAAGTCATGGCTGCTTTATGAAAGCACTGGTGCTAGGAATGTAAAATATTAGGTGGAACTGTTTGCATAGTTCGGAGTTGTACCATCATATCAAACCTGCCCTCACTTTTGTGTACCCATTGACTGTCCGTCCCATGGTTTTAAAGAAAAACAAGTGATACTTCTGATTGAAGCAGATTTTTGAAGAAATGGCTTCTTTTTAATCAGAATTGCTGACATGCCAAATTTATCATAATCTCCTGGTTTATATTTTGGTTCCTCTCACCTTTAATTCTTTCCCCACAAATGAAATAATATTTTTTATGGTTTTATTTTATAGGACTTGCCAGAAACTATTTCTTACTTAAAAATTTTTACAGTTGGGCATCAGGTGCCTGATGATGACACTATTTTAAAATTCAAACATGCTGTTAATGGATTTGTGAAAGAAAATAAAGATAATGGTGAGTTTTATCGTTTTTCTTATCTGAACTTTGATATCCATTTTGAGTGGTGTTAGGGATTTTTTCTTTTTTAAGGATTTATTTATTTACTTGAAAAGTTACACAGAGGAGAGGCAGAGAGAGGTCTTCCATCTGCTGTCCACTCCCCAGTTAGCTGCAATGGCCGGAGCTGTGCTGATCCGCAGCCAGGAGCCAGGAGCTTCTTCTGGGTTCCCATGCGGGTGCAGGGGCCCAAGGACTTGGGCCATCTTCTAGTGCTTTCCTAGGCCATAGCAGAGAGCTGGATCAGAAGAGGAGCAGCCAGGTCTTGAACCGGCACCCATATGGGATGCTGGCGCTTCAGGCCAGGGCATTAACCTGCTATGCCACAGCGCCGGCCCCAGGGATTTTTGATATTGCTAATAGTTGTAACATTTGGCCTGTTGTAGTTTATGATGTTAAGGTGGCTTTTTCAGAGGCTGGCATTGTGGCACAGTAGGTGAAGGCTCTGCTTACAAAGCTGACATCCCATATCAGAGTGCTGGTTTGTCCTGGCTGCTGTGCTTCTGATCCAGCTTCCTGCTATTGCACCTAGGAGAGCAGTGGAGCATGGCCCAACTACCTGGGCCTTGCCATCCAGGGAGACCTGGATGGAGTCCTGGCTCCTGGCTTCAGCCTGGTCCCCACACCTGCTTTTTGGGGCCATTTGGGGAGTGAATCAACAAATGGGAGGTATCTTTCTTTCAAATAAATAATTGAATAAATATTTCTGAAAGTGGAGGCCTGTAATGGGATAAGGTGTTTTTCTTTTTGGTCACAAATAAACAGTTACTTTGGAAAGTGATTTTAGTGAGAAATAACGAACTCTGACCTCACTAACATCTTTGTGAAAAAATCTGAGTGGGAAATGTGTAATAAAATAAAAGGTTTATTCTACCTCATATATTGGTTAAGAGATAAGAGAATAATTGAAGAAGGTGGGAAAAGCTCAGGGTTTTAGAGTCACATAGAAGAGACAGAAGGCAGAGGGTTAGGAGTGAGGCAGACGCTCAGAGCGCAGCAGCACGGAGTGAGCCAGCCAATGGAAGTCCGCCATCACCATCTTACGGAGGGCGTTCCCAGGCTGATTTTCCACTCCAAGCGCAGGTGGGGATGGACACCACCACCTCTTGCTCTTTTTCTTCAGACAAGAAGAACTTGGGTCAGAGTCTGGTTCTTTCTTGTTCCTGCTTCGTGATCTGCCTGACTTCATTTAAATAGATCAGGTTTTTGCTTTTTTTTTTTTTTTTTTATTAATTTGAGAGGTAGTGTTGTACACAGAGCGAGAGGTCTTCCATCCGCCAGCCCACTCCCCAAATGGCCACAACTGCCGGAACTGGGCCAATCAGAAGCCAGGAGCCTCCCCCAGCCGCCCCACACAGATGCAGAGGCCCAAGCACCCTGACCATCCTCCACCGCCCCCACCCCCACCCCCCGGCCACAGCACGGAGCCGGATCGGAGCAGCCGGGACATCCACACGAGACGCTGGCAGTGCAGGCAGAGCCCCAGCCCTCTACGCCACAGCGCCAGCCCCGATAGATCTGTTTTTAATACCTTTTGCGTTTTAAGGATCCAGTAACTTTTTCTTAGCATATACCCACAAGAAAGAATGTGATAGTTTTCATATTTTCAGTCTGAAGAAGCTTTTGTCTTCAGAAAGCTACTGACTGACAAACCACAGGGCAAAGCATTTATTTGCCTTCTTCCTCTTCTTTCTAAATTAAAATTGAGGCGTTTATACTTTATTAAGTCAATCTGATAGACTTCAACAAATATGATAAGGACTAGTGGAAAGACACTGAAGACGGAGGTGGGAGGGTATGGGTTGGGAGGTGGGGGGGGGTGCTAATAGTGGGTTTGAAGATATATTTTCAGACTATAACCTGGTCTCTTAAGGTAGCACTGGTCCTTACTTCTCTAAAGCCCTGCTCACGGGTCTTTCCCTTTACTTCACCTTTAAAACTTGAGAGGCTTGGCTTTGCCGGTGATAGCTGTGGCGTGTCGCTGTTGTAAGCTGTAGTCACAGAAATAAATACTCCTCCTCAGATGCGAGGGTGTGGCTCCCAGCCTGCTTCCAAGCTCTCCTGAGTGTTGCAGTGTTTCATCGGATCTCAGAGGGCTGGGAGATCCTCATCTGCACGGGAGATGGTTCTGAATTGTTGATGCTTGCATACGGCCCTGAGCACAGTCGGCCAGGCGCGTAGGCTGACTCCGGGGGCGCTCCGCTGCCTGAGTGGTGCCGACTTGTCTGTGACTCGCAGCACTCCCTCCCGCAGCAGTCCTGGGGCCTTGTTCAGGATCCCTTTGGGCCACCTCTGCTGTAAGCCCTTCCCGCAGGCACTAGGCTCTGAATAAGAGCAGAGCACCACACTGTCCTTTCCCTGGGACTGATAGAGACTGAGAACATCAGTTGATTTTTAGTGAACACGAAGAGCTCTTGGGTTTACTGTTGAGGCAGAGGAGCTACAGAGCTCAGTAACAGTCTCTGTTCTTGAGAAACTCACAGTCACCGAGGACGGTAAGCCGGTAAGCCGTATATTCTTTTCAGCAAGTATTTTTTTTTTTTTTTTTTTTTTATCTTTTATTTAATGAATATAAATTTCCAAAGTACGTCTCATGGGTTACAATGGCTTTCCCCCCCATACCGTCCCTCCCACCCACCACCCTCCCCTTTCCCACTCCCTCTCCCCTTCCATTCACATCAAGATTCATTTTCGATTATCTTAGTATACAGAAGATCAGCTTAGTATACCTTAAGTAAGGATTTCAACAGTTTGTTCCCACACAGAAACATAAAGTGAAAAATAATAGATGATTTTTTTTTAAATGATGATGAAATCAGATCAGACCTATTGTCATGTTTAATCCCAGTGAGAGTCAAGTTGGGAATTGATAGTTTCTTTTCTTTTTTTTTTTTTTTTTAACAGAAGATCAGTTTAGTGTACATTAAGTAAAGATTTCAACAGTTTGCACCCCCATAGAAACACAAAGTGAAATATACTGTTTGAGTACTCGTTATAGCATTAAGCCTCAGTGTACAGCACGTTAAGGACAGAGATCCTACATGAGGAGTAAGTGCACAGTGACTCCTGTTGTTGACTTTACAAATTGACACTCCTGTTTATGGCATCAGTAATCTCCCTATGCACCAGTCATGAGTTTCCAAGGCTATGGAAGCCCCTTGAGTTCTCCGACTCTTATCTTGTTTAGACAAGGTCATAGTCAAAGTGGAGGTTCTCTCCTCCCTTCAGAGAAAGGCACCTCCCTCTTTGAAGACCTGTTCTTTCCACTGGGATCTCACTCACAGAGATCTTTTTGCCAGAGTGTCTTGGCTTTCCATGCCTGAAATACTCTCATGGGCTTTTCAGCCAGATCCGAGTGCCTTTAGGGCTGATTCTGAGGCCAGAGTGCTATTTAGGACATCCGCCATTCTATGAGTCTGCTGAGTATCTCACTTCCCATGTTGGATCACTCTCCCCTTTATTTATTCTATCGGTTAGTGTTCAGCAAGTATTTAATAACCTTCCATGTTAAAGACACTGCTCTTGCCCTTATCTACTATCCATTGTAGTAGGGGAGAGAGGTAAATAAGCAAATAAATGCAGGGTGATGTTTGCTTTGGAGAGGAACAACAGGATAAAGCGGTGAGGGAAGTGGTGGGTGATCAGGCAGGCCTCTCTCACAGTTGGAGGAGGATGTTCTGAGGCAGCTGGAACAGCAGCTACAAAGCCCCTGAGGCGTAGTGAGGAGGCCTGTGACTGGGATGGAGTGAGTGAGGGTCAGAGCGGCAGAAAATGGGGTCAGAGAGCCTGCGGGTGCGCGGGAAGGAAGTACGTGGTTCTAAGTCACAACATCATTTCAGATTCATAGTTCAATTGAAAAGACAGACTGATGGTAGTTTATAAAACATTCTAAATGCCATGCTAAGAAGTTTGAACTTTCTCCTGTGCTAAAAATGATTCTTTGACAAAAGAGCCACCCAGCCAAGTTTATGTTTTAGAAAGCTAGCATTTTTCCGAGTGCAGGATCAACAGAGTTAGAAGCAATGGGAGTGGGGAGATTAATTTGCTGTGGCAGTGCAGGCAGGCACTGGTGTGTGTCTTCCTTACCAGATGCCACCTGGCCACACGTAGAATTTGCAGAGAAAAACTACACATTGTTGGTTTTTCCTTTATTCTTCATACTTTTTTTTTTAAATGATGGACTAAGAAATACCATTGGCAGAATTAAAAAAAATTTGGACTTGATTTCAGTCTTTGTTCTGATTGCCGGCTTTGTAGCTTGGGCTTCCACCTCAGAGTCTCACCTTTGCACCAGACGGCGTGAAGGGTGCCTGGTCTGGAGCTGTTCGCAGGGCACTTACTTCTGTGGCTTGTGGGGCCCCTTATGAGATGGAAGGGGAGCCCTGGGGATCCTGAGAAAACCACCTGCTGGGTGTTTGTAGTGCTCAGCATCCAGAGTGAAGGCATTATTCCATCCATGTCATTCCAGACAAATTCCCTTCTCATAACCTGTTGTTTTTTTAAATTTCCTTTTGCTGCAATTAAATCAGTTACTGGTGGGTATTCTATATTAAGACAAATGGTTTGTCTCAATGTAATTTTGTAGTTATTAATACCTGACCAGGCCTTTGGTAGTTTACATCATTTAGTCTAGTTGGGAATATGTAAAATTTCCAGAGACAGTGAATTTTGACTTTTTTTTTTTTTAACAGAATTAGAGAGAGACAGACAGAGAGAAAGGTCTTCTTTCCGTTGGTTCACTCCCCAAATGGCTGCTACAGCCAGAGCTGCACTGATCCGAAGCCAGGAGCCAGATGCCTCCTCCTGGTTTCCCATGCAAGTGCAGGGGCCCAAGCACTTGGGCCATCCTCCACTGCCCTCCCGGGCCACAGCAGAGAGCTGGACTGGAAGAGGAGCAGCCAGGACTAGAACCCGGTGTCCACGTGGGATACCAGCACCACAGCTGGAGGATTAACCAAGTGAGCTATGGCACCGGCCTCTTCTTTTTTTTTTTAAAGGTTTTTTGAGGGGCCTGTGCTGTGGCGCACTGGGTTAAGCCACCGACTGCAGCAACAGCATCCTGTATGTCCACTGGTTTGACTCCTGGCTGTTCCACTTCCAATCCAGCTCCCTGCTAACGTGCCTGAGAAAACATTGGAGGATGGCCCAGGTGTTTGGGCCACTGTACCTACATGGGAGACCTGGGTTAAGCTCCTGACTCCTGGCTTCAGCCTGGCCCAGCCCTGGTTGTTGTGGCCATCTGGCGAGTGAACCAGCAGATGGACGATCTCTTTCTCTCTTTTTCTCTCTCTCTCCTCTCCCTGTGTAACTCTGCCTTTAAAATAAACAAATCTTTTTAAAACAAAAGATTATTTGAAAGACAGTTACACACACACACATACACACACACACATTTTCTGTCTGCCTGTTCACTCCCCAGATGACCACAGTAGCTGGTTCTGGGCCAGAATACTATGGTGGATGGGAGAAAGGAGAGAGAGAAGTGGCTCTTCCAGATGGCCACAGTAGTCAGTGCAGGGCCAGACTGAAGCCAAGAGCGTGGAATTCCATCTGAGTCTCCCATGTGGGTGATGGGCCCAAGTGCTTGGATCATCCTCCTTTACTTTCCCAGGCCTATAAGCCAGGAGCTGGATGGGAAGTGGAGCAGCCAGGACTTGAACCGATATGGGAGGCTGGAATCACAGGCAGTGGCTTAACCCACTGCCCTTGATTTTCTCTTAAATGATTTTCTTAGGTGATGATTTTAGTCTTTTAGCTTCCTAAAAGACACATTGCTCTAAAGATTCTTCATTTTCTTGGTAGTGTTAATGCTATGGTAGCTTTAAATATCATTCTTTAGAAATAGTATAACTTGTTTTTTTTGTATCTACTTGTATCACTTAGCTCTGTATTTCTTGTTTCATAGACAAACTTATTGGTGTCCACTGTACCCATGGTTTAAACAGGACTGGCTACCTCATCTGCAGGTGAGTTGCCAACCCCAGGGCAAACCATATTTGTTTCTGTCTTTTTACAGTGATGATATAAGCTTGTGGTAAAAAATACAATTAGTATAGAAATACATGATGTAGAAGCAGACTTGCTTACCACCAGAGGTTTCCACTATTAATAATTTAGTATGTATCTTTTCAGACTTTGAAAATGCAGACAGAAGCATATATATATATATATATATATATATATATATGTAATTTAATAGTAAATGCAGTTTAGGAGACATTATTTTTTATAATGCAGTGTATGGTGGGAATCATTCAGTGTAGATAATTGGAGACTTTGTTTTAAAGGCTGCATAGTTCCTTTGCATACTGATAAAAGTCAGACATTTTTGAAATTATAAAATAGTGAAGTAGGAAACATTCCTATAAATAGAACATCTTTGAATACATATCTCACTGTCCCAGAAATAATTTCACTCAAAATGAAATTTCTGAATCAAAGAATATGTGTCCTTATGCTTTTCATAAATGTTGCTGCCCTGTACCTATTCATTCAGGAAATACTGAACATCTGTTATGTGTAGGTACTGTGCTGAGTGCTAGCAAAAAATACTGAACCCATCCTTCGTGAGCCCAAACAGTATAGATGTTAAAGAATCACACAAATGTATATAGAATCACAACTGACAAGTATTAAGGAGGGGGACATGGTACTATGAGAACATACATTAGGGGCTGGCGCTGCCATAGCTCAATAGGCTAATCCTCCGCCTGCAGCGCCGGCACACCAGGTTCTAGTCCTGGTTGGGGCGCCGGATTCCATCCTGGTTGCTCCTCTTCCAGTCCAGCTCTCTGCTGTGGCCCAGGAAGGCAGTGGAGGATGGCCCAAGTGCTTGGGCCCTGCACCTGCATGGGAGACCAGGAGAAGCACCTGGCTCCTGGCTTCGGATCAGCACGGTGCACCGGCCGTAGCTTGCCGGCCACAGCGGCCATTGGGGGGTGAACCAATGGAAAAGGAAGACCTTTCTGTCTCTTTCTCTCACTGTCCACTCTGCCTGTCAAAAGAAAAAAAAATAATAAAAAAAGAACATACAGTAGGATTTGATCTCATCAGAGATCAGAGTCGTCAGAGGTTTCTGTGGCGGTTTGAGCAGGTATCTGAAGGTGAATAGTATTAACCAGGTGGGGGCATTGTGGAGAGAATTCTGGACAAGGACAGCAAAGACGGTATAACAGGAAATCATACTGTGTTGGAGGAACTGGCTGGGGAGGCTGGGTCATAGGATGGCATTAAAGTGGATCTAGAAGGATGAGTAGGAAATAGATCCTACAGAGCCTATGGTTAAGTTTTATCCCTTATCTTCCCTTATCTTTTTTTTTTTTTTTTTGACAGGCAGAGTGGACAGTGAGAGAGAGTCAGAGAGAAAGGTCTTCCTTTGCTGTTGATTCACCCTCCAATGGCCACCGCGGCCAGTGTGCTGCGGTCGGCGCACCGCGCTGATCCGATGGCAGGAGCCAGGTACTTATCCTGGTCTCCCATGTGGGTGCAGGGCCCAAGTACTTGGGCCATCCTCCACTGCACTCCCTGGCCACAGCAGAGAGCTGTCCTGGAAGAGGGGCAACCGGGACAGAATCCGGCGCCCTGACCGGGACTAGAACCCGGTGTGCCAGTGCCGCAAGGCGGAGGATTAGCCTAGTGAGCCGCGGCGCCGGCCTATCCCTTATCTTAAAAGCAATAGGAATCCGTTGAATGTTTTGTTGTTGTTGTTAAAGATAAGTGTGTAGAACATAATCAAATTTGTAACCTATCATTTGCTACTGAATGGAGACTACACTGCAGAGGGAAGGAAGTATAAGCAAATAGACAAATTTGGAGGCCTTTTTAGGAATTGAGTCATAATTATAGTTGGGCCAGGATATGATAGTCATTCTGATCAAAAGACATGGACATATTCTGGACGTATTTAGGTACTGTCATTTTTCAGGACTTTGTGGTATATTGAAAATAAGAATTAGGAAGAAAAGGCTAACAGTAGTGATGACTCTTTAAGTTTTTGTTTACTTAATATCTTTTAGATGCAATGTTCGTATTTCTCCCAATTTGTCCACTCCTTCTTGTTGGTTCCTAATATTGTCCTATTAGGGAATCTACAACTTTACTTTACAAACCATTTTGAGCAGAAATAACCATTGAGAGGCTGCAGCGTTGTGGCATAGCAGAGTAAGCTGCCCCCTGCAATGCTGTCATCCCATATGAGGGCTGGTTTGCATCCTTAGTGCTCCACTTCGGCTCTAGCTCCCTGCTAATGCTCCTGGAAAAGTGGCAGATGATAGCCCATGTATTTGGGCCCCTGACACCCACATAGGAGACCCAGATGGGAGTTTCAGGCTTCTGGTTTCAGCTTGGCCGAGTCCTGGCTTTTGCGGCTATTTAGGGAATGAACCAGTGGATGGAAGATTGATCCCTCTTCTGTTTAATTCTCTCTCTGTAACTCTGCCTTTCTGATAAATGAATCTTTAAAAAAAAAAAAAAAGACCTGATTTTTACCAAAACTCTTAATATTGCCAACTTCATTCTTCATTTTCTTTCCATTATTAGCCAAATTATTATATTAGTATAAGTAATTCTATTAATAGTTTTTCTTAAGTTGGATCATCATTGCATTCTTGAAGTGAAGTCTTTTTGTAGTCATGGCATATAATTCTTTAATAATTGTTGGATTAGATGTGCTTATATTTTCTTAAGATTTTTTACATCTCCATTTGTAAGTGAAATCGGACCTTTTTGAAGAAATTTGTTTTTTTATATATAAAAATGACCCAAACTGTGTTGTTTTGTTAGATATTTGATTGATGTACAAGGCATGAGGCCAGATGATGCAATTGAATGTAAGTATGAGGGTTGTCACTATTCTTTCTTTTCTATAAATTAAAGGTGGAAATGTTGGATGAATTTCTTAAAACCTTTGTAATCCATTTATTCTGATATAAAATAGTCTTTTGCCAAAAGTTTATAAAAAAGAGATGTATCTAGAAGTAGTGAGATATAACAGAATAAATTAGAGATATAACTGAATAATTAGTTAATGAATCTCAGCTATGATTCGCTTTTTCTGAGAAAGATTTGGTTTTTGTACATTTTTAATAATCTGTCCACTCCCCAGTGTTCAATCGGTGTCGTGGACATTGCTTAGAAAGGCAGAACTACATTGACGACTTGCAGCATGGTCCTATCAGAAAGTAAGTCTTCATTTTTCTGTGGTGTTTGTGGTTAAGGAGATCTCTTTTTATAGGATAGAAGTTGCACATATGTATTCTTTGGTTGCTTGTTTACTTGTTGGGGGAAAGCCACTGAATTGGCTACTGAGTTTGGAAACCGGTAATAATGTGTGGACATACTTTCTTTGAGAAGTCGAAAATCCAGGGTATCCAGATCGAGTGGTTTTGAGGACTCAGCATATCTCATGGACCCAACCCACAGTACTGATAAGGCTGTTCACCAGGGACATAGACAGAGCCTACATCGGAACCATGGCCACCCAGCACCTTCTCGGCACGTCCGTAACCAGACCCCAAATTTGCAACATTCTATCAGGTATCTCTGCCTTCCCTTCTGCAATTGAAGTAGAAATCACTACTGTAAATTTGTGAAAATACATCATGATGATGATGGTGGTGATGATGGTGATGATGAGGTGAAAATAATCTTTTCTTGCCAATCATCACGGTGAGCCAGGAGATACCATCCTGCTGTGTGTTCTGGAAACTCAAGAACAGGTAGGGTATGTGTAACATATAATGAAGCAATTATATACATATTAGAATGTAAAGCAAATGAAAGTGCAGAGTTGTGTAGGAAGCTTGTTGGAAAGTCTTTTTTTTTCTTTTTAAAATTTATTTTATTTGAAAGTCAGAGCTACACAGAACAAGAGAGAGAGGCAGAGCGCATGCATGCACACCCTCGAGAGTGAGAGAGAGAGAGAGAGAGAGAGAGAGGTCTTCGATCCACTGCACTCCCCAACTGGCCACGACAGCTGGAGCTGTGCAGATCTGGAGCCAGGAGCTTCTTCTGGGTCTCCCACACAAGTGCAGGGGCCCAAGGACTTGGGCCATCTTCCACTGCTTTCCCAGGCCATAGCAGAGAGCTGGATTGGAAGTGGAGCAGCCGGGACTCAAACCGGTGCCCATGTGGGATGCCGGCACTGCAGGCAGCGGTTTTACCCACTACACCACAGTGGCGGCCTCAGTATTTTTTAGGCTTTTTATTTTTAATTATATTTGAATAGATTCAATATGTACATAGGTAGTAGCTCGAAGAATATAATGATATTTCCTCCGTGATGAGGCCTGGAATGAGCACCAGCGCTGGTGCCTGAATCCCACTGTGGAACCATTCCCTGTTGCCTTCCTTCTGAGAACAGTGCATTGGGGGGAGGGGGGGGGGGTGGAGGGATATAATGATATTCCTTTCCTAATAAGCAAAATTAATAGGTTGAGGTTAAACAGTCAAAGAAAGAGCCAAAGGAGACAAAGACCAAAAGGAAATATTAAGCAATTAAATTAGATTCAGTGGGATTAAGGGACCTTCACATTCTCTTTCACATGATTAGATTTAATGATCTGCTGTCTGAGTGATTAAGTTTAAGCACTGATTTTCCAAACTTATCACATGTGCCATCACTTTATAATTAACCTACTTATTTATGAAGTGAAAGCAGCTCTCTGCTTTAAATCCTGAATAGCTTAATCTGTTTTATGTTAACCCTCCAACTTCTGGCAAACATCTGTCTAGATTAATGTGGGCATGCATTTAGCTTACAGGGAAAGGCGAAACGATCCCGGAAACCTCTGTGTGCCAGAGCATTCTAGCAGTTTCAGTATGTGGTCTGGATTTACCTTATGACAGCTGGTGAAGAAGGAAGGTGTTACTAGTACACTCATAAGAAAGGAAGAGATAGATGAAATAATGTGGGAAATCATAGAACCAGATTCTCTGTGTATTATTTTACAAAGCTTATGTTTGTTATTCACTCTGACAACACTTTATTACTTTTTGTTTGGTTTAAGGAAATTTTCACAAAATCACGTTTACCAGAGACGCCGCCTCCCTCCCCCCGGCCCCCCTGGAGAGGACTATTCCTGGAAGAGATACACCTGGGACGTGAAGACCAGCGGCAGGCGCACAGCCTGCAGTAGCAGGTGGTACTCGGACACTTACCACAGACTGTCCCATCCGGCCTACTGGGGATGGACCGAGTGACGCAGACTTGCCTGGGAACCCTGGATACCAGAGCCAAACTGAAGCAAGTTCGAGTGACTTTTAATTAAATCAGGTCAAACAAAAGTTTTTGAATCTATTTTATTGCTCCCTTATGTGCTCAAGCTCAAAAAAATTATATTAAATTATATTAATGTTTACCTCTTTGCTGATAGATTTGCCATAATTTCAGCAGTGCAGGAAAAGAATCTGTCATTCTAGTCTTAAATTTTTCTAAGGAAAGATATTTTAGACTATAACATATTAAGAACTTCCCTTGCAAATTATTTTTTAAAAGTGTATCTTGTAATGTGTGTGTGTGTGTGTGTACAGAAATGTTTAGTGCTCTTGTCATGTTGTATGATTGACCCAGACATTATGGGTATCTTTTTTTCTTCTAACTGTTCAAATTTCTATTAAAATCTACCAAGACAGTTTCTTTTACAATCTAGTCAATATCTGTAATTATGACATTTTTGGGATTAGTTAGTTCTTTGATAATTGTGGAAATTGACCCAATTTCCTTTCACTGAATTCCCAGATATATCAGATGGATAACATTTTAGGGATTGTCAGTGGGGCAAGAGAGACAGTTGTTGTATTAAATTGTAATGGGTACTTTACCTGACAGGGTAGTTGTTATCAATAGGGTAGTATAGCTTAGAGAGATTGCTTAATGCACAGAGTAGGATATATGACGATTTAAAAGTCTAGGGTAGGAGTCCTCAACCTTCACGTTACTGCTGTCAAGCCTAACTCCTGGGCTCTTTCTCCAGTTGCCTCTGGTAGTAAGGTGGTGGTTTACCTTTTTTCTAAGCTGCCTCTTCTGGTGTACCTCTGGACTGCAGATGGCTCACTCAGGAAGCTGTTAATTAACTTCAATTGTAGAGGAAGCCAGAAACTTTAGCTTCCTGAAGAAAGCGTCTAGTCATCATGATGCACAAAAGCCTGGGTAAATATTTGATGAATACTTGAGCAACTTGCCTTCGTTCTTTAAAGCCTCAGACTTTGAGGATTTGTTTCATAGAATGCCTGATAGCGCATGTGGACCTGACCTTAAGGAGGTATGGTTCTCCTTGTCTCTACCTGATTGCCCATTCACGTTGCTGTACTTCGTCTGAGTGATGGCTCATGATATTTTTTTCTGTTGGGCACATTACAGAGATAGAAAAGTTCTTTTGGCTAAAACCCTGCTGTTGTAGAATTGTCCCCCAGGATACACCACGAAGCCTCACTTGAGAAGTACTTGGAGCGAGACAACAGGTGCAGCAGAATGTGCAGGTGCAGGGATGGGAATCTAGCAGTCCAGTGGGCTGGGAAAAATCAGGACCCTGCCAGCAGAAGTGCCGTCACAGAAGGCCTGCACCTTCAGAAAAACGCTGTTGCTCTCTGTTTCCATTTCACTTATCCACATAGCTTGTTAAAAACTTGTAAGCATTTGATGTTCTGGGACTCGTTTATTCTTCAAAACACTGCTTCTGGGGCCGGCGCTGTGGCTCACTTGGCTAATCCTCTGCCTGTGGTGCCAGCACCCCAGGTTCTAGTCCTGGTTGGGGCGCCGGATTCTGTCCCGGTTGCTCCTCTTCCAGTCCAGCTCTCTGCTGTGGCCCGGGAGGGCAGTGGAGGATGGCGCAAGTGCTTGGGTCCTGTACCCCATGGGAGACCAGAAGCACCTGGCTCCTGGCTTCGGATCAGCGTGGCGCCATTTTGGGGGTGAACCAATGGAAGGAAGACCTTTCTTTTTTCTTTCTTTTTTTTTTTTTTTACAGCTTGCATGTTTATTGAACAAATACTACTAAAGTAGCTAAAATACACTGGGTACTTCTCAGGAGTGCGTCAGGAAGGATCGCATCGTTACAAAAGCCTGCAAGTCCAGCAGCACAGGGCTGCACTCTACGCAAATGCCACAGATGCAGGAGCCAGCGTCTCACTCTATGTACACGGGTTCACCTAGGCTCACACACGGGGTGCGGGAGAAGCACACGCAGGACTCAGGCTGGGGGTGCGGGAGGAGGCGGCAGAGGTCAACGCATGCATCGTTGGTGTCGCGGAACAGCTCAGAGCCGGGGACAGCTCAGAGCCGGGGACAGCTCTCTAACAGTCGAGGTGGGCGTCCAGGCTGGCCGGCACAACAGCGTTCCGCTCGGTGGGCCGTCTGATTTGGGTTTTGTTTTTCCTTTTCACTGGGAGCAAGGACAAAAGTGTAAAATCTGCACCTTGCATATCGAAATCTGCTGAGAGGCTGCTCTCCGCCTCACTTCTGCGTTTGTCGTGAGTATTTTTGTCATGAGACCTTTCCCAGCTTAGCTTTTGGGAAAGGCGCAATTTTGTATTCCTTTGGCTTTTTCAGAGGGCATTTATTAGAAAAGAATTGACCCTTTTGTTTTCCAAATATCCTGTCAAAGCTCCCCAAGAGACACCTCAAAAACGCCTGTAAAATTATTGCTTCTCTTTCTCTACGTCAGGCAGGCGAGGCAACAGCAAGGAAGAGCTCTGGCCCTCAGTTAGTTTTGTGATCGCTCCCACCGCCGGGCCTGCGTGTCCGTGGGCGCTGGCCGAGGGGCCCGGCCTCCCACGTGCTCTGGCAGCACCCACTCCACGACCACACTGAGGAAGCAGCACACTGCAGACAAGGGAAACAAGTCAGTCCAGTCACGAGAACAACACTCAGGGGGACAGAGGACCAACGCCTTCTCGGAACATGGAAATAAAAAATAACTCCATCAGAGCTACCTCGCCAGGGAGCATGTTGAGAAGTCCAAAATAGCACCATTCATCAGTGTCTCAGGTCCTGTGGCAGCATCTCATCACTTACCACAAGGAAACAATGAGTGTCAACTACTATACATCAAAGGAGTACATGGGCAAAATATAGATATACAGACAGTTGATGGACATAAACTACTAGGCTTGTTACAGCTAAATGAAAAAAAAAAAGGGGGGGGGGGCTCTCAGCCTCTGCCGGAAGCAGTCGGGAGCTGTGTGTGTGGAAGACAGGAGTGGACCGGCGGTGTGGCACGGAGGGGTGTGAGTTGTGGAAGATGTTGCTGTGACGACCAGGCCTGTGGGCCCACCTGTAGGGTCTGTAAACGTGGATTCACAGTGTGAACTTCTGAGCGTTCCACTTGAGTCAGAACGGCTGAAGACTGGAGTGATGATCCCTACTTGTCCAAGGCAAATTCTCTAAAGCAGTACTCAGAGTCCCATGGTTTCTTCTTACACGCGATGATTTATACAGAAAAAAATCCCATATATGATACCATGACCTCATCAATCCCCATACACCATACGCAATACAAATGAAGGTGGATCAGAAAGAGTGGCGGTAGCTGACGCCCGGGGCGCGCAGTCCATGGCTGCCTGGTGGGGTCGGGGAGGCAGCGCTGGTCCCGGCCATCTTCTTGTGGTTCACTTCCTTTGGGACGGGAAGACCTCCCTCAGGGAGCCTTCCCTCCAGGCCCTGGTTTGCAGATGGCCCTTGACTGACCCCCACAGAGACATCCTGGCAATCAACCATTTTGACAATCCTAACGGTCCTGGGCCCGTGCTCTCCCTCTCTTCAGTCCCAGGAGACCGACGGACAAAGCCCGCTCCGCCCGCGCCGCGCCGCCTCGCCTCAGCCGCCGGGTCCCGCGGCCGGCGCACAATGAGCTCAGGAAGACCTTTCTCTCTGTCTGTCTCTCACTGTCTATAACTCTACCTGTAAAAAAAAAAAAAAAAAAAAAAAAAAAAAAAAAAAAACACTGCTTCTGCCATCTTGCACAGTACCTATGAAAGGTTTCGGGCTAAAGGGACCACAACTGTGTTTGGAAAGGTGAACTGGCGCCCATAAGGAGTGGAGCAGCCAGGACTCAAACTGGCGCCGATATGGGATGCTGGCACTGCAGGCAGTGGCTTTAGCTGCTACGCCACAGTGCTGGTCCCATACAATTTTTAATTCTTATTTAAAATAAAACCACAGGAGTAGTTTAAGATTCAAATAGCTCTACCAAGATCACCACAAAAAAGAGCAGCCCTCTGCCCTGCCCTTGCCCCTGACTCATTTCCCAATACTTTGTATTTTTTCATATTTGGGTATTTGCCTCCCTTTTTTAAATAATATACTTATATTGTCACTTCTTGGTTTTTAAATCTGTGATGTTATCTGTGAAGTTCCTGCTGTGACAGATGAGGCTGTCGCTGTGGCAGGGTAGCTCTCACAGTTGTTTCCCAGTGTTGCTTGAACAGGGTTCTGAGTTCACATTACCAAGTAACTGCTCATCACAGACCACAGGGTGCTAGGAATTATGTTTCCTTTCTTATACCTCCGTTTCCCCCTCTCATTTTTGCTTCTTCTCCTGTGGACCTAACACTAATTCATCCCCCAAATCTCCAACAGCAAGACAAAATATCTCTTAATATAGGTATATGCATGATTCTGTTTTTGTTTGAAATCTTTCTTGGTGCCCTCTTGACCTGTTCCAAGTTCAGTGTTTTACTCATATTAGTTTACTAGGGCTGCCAAAGCAGGGTACCACAGACTGGGTATAAGCTACAGAAACGTATTTTCTCCCAATTCTGGAGACTAGGAGTCCCAGCTCAATCTTGTCGGCCAGGTTGGTTTCTTTGGAGGCCCTTCTTGTCTTGTGGGTGCTGTTTCTGCCCTGTGTGCTCCCACAGCTTTCCCTCTGTGTCCAGATTTTCTTCACTTACGAGGATGCCAGTCATCTTGGATAGGGTCCACACTCGTGACCTTTTTCTGACTTACTTCCCTGGATAAGTCCCCACTAGCATTCTGTGTGCACCTTCTTGTCGATGTGATTCTGACTGCCCCAGAATTCTTCTCTGAGGACGAGTTCCTTCTTGTTATTCCCACCTGGAAATCCGGAGTGCCCCGTGGCCTTGAGATGCACGTGCAGCCCACTGGCAAGGCTTTCGGCAGCCTGACTGCGAGCAAACCCTTCAGAACCATCTGCTGTGCTCCCTTCGATTTTTGCGTGTATCTTGTGTTAACCTGTGCTTATGCCACCATATTCTTTGTCTTTCATCTTGATCCCTTTGCCATATGTGTCTCCTGTGGTCTCTGTGAGCAAATCCTTCTCACTGTTTGGGCCACTCCACCTCAGTAAAGCCGCCTTCCCAGTCCATACTCAAGTTCTCAAGTGAGTGATCCCTTGTCTACAAGGTGCCTTGTATCATGATTTAGCATTTATTTCATTTATATCTCATGCTGTCTGAAACACAGGTTCCAGAGCAGTCTTAGAATTCAGCCCCTTAACTCCCTCCTCTGTGGTGACAGCAAAAGTTTTCTGAGCTGATGAGAGTACGAGTTCAGCTCAGGGACTGAGTGACCTTTCCAGCTCCCTGACATCAAGGCCTCTGTGTTCTCAGTGTCCCCGTTTTGGGACGGAGGAAATGCTATGCCAAGGGCTGCGGGATCTGGCTTTCTGAGCTGCCGTGAAGGGCGAGGTGAGGATCTAACATCAGCTCCATGGGGGCCTTGGTTAATGAAACACATCTCAAACAAGACCCAGATTCTTGCCTCAGGCTCTGCTTTCTCTAGAACTTAGGCTAAGACGTTCAGATTCTTGTTCAAAAAGCAGACACTCTAGCTTTTAATTGTTTAGCCTTGCATATGAGAGAGAAAAGTACTAGATCTCTGCCACTGATTTGACATTGAAACCCTGTGAATATTTATACCTCCAAAGAACAGTCATGATAATGGCTTATCAAGGATTATGGGTTTCAGAGTGGATGTTTAGCCTAGGTGTGTCTGCATCCCACATTAGACTGCCTGGAGTTCCAAGCTCTGATTCCAGCTTCCTGCTAATGTAGACCCTGGGAGGCAGCAGGTAGCGGCTCAAATAATTGGGTTCCTGTCACCCACATGGGGGACTTGGACTGTGTTCCTGGCTTCTTTCTCCAGCCCTGGCCCAGCCATTGTGGGAATTTGGCTAGTGAACTAACTCTCTGTCTGCCTGTCTCACTAATGCTTCTTACATAAAGAAATTTTTTAAATGAAAAGAAATTTTATTAATAATTTTACTACATGTGTACAACTGCACTGATCAAATGAGAGTAGTCAACATTTCTCCTTTCGCATTATTTTGTGATTGGAACCTTGGAGCTGCTTTCTTTTAATTGCTCACAAAGTTTTTGTTTTTTTAAACAACTGATTTCCCTTTTGGGGTTCTTTTCACCCATTAGGTGGGAGTAGTTTTTGGAGTCTGAGTGTTTCACATGCCCCATTTGTTCAGAAAGCACATCTCGTGTTAGTGTCATTGTAAACACATAGTAACGGCATAGTTAGCAAGTCTGTGTGAGGGGGTCTTCAGAAAGTTCTTAGCAGATGAATACTTTGAAAAAACTGCATCAATTTCCCTTTTTCTGCACCAAAACTTTTCATTATTTTTCCATGAAATTTGAAGTACTCTCATATTGCAGAGAACAAGGTTGTTATCTTAGAAAATTCTAATTTGATACATAGAGTCTATACCCCTACAGCTGTAGATAAAGAATCAGCCTTATTTGGGGATGACTTTTTTCCTTTTTTTTAAAGAAAAACAGTAAAATGCATCCTTTTTTAATATACAGTTCTATAGGTTTGACCAGCATTTGTAACTACCACACCAAAATATGGAACAGTTCCACCCCTTCCCATATTCCCATCAGATCACTTGGCAGCCAATCATCCCGCCAACACAGGCCCCGGCAGCTGCAGTTCTGATTTTCACCGCTGTCCATTCGCCACTTGGGGAATGTCACGTAAATGCACTCATGGGGCATATAACCTTTCAAATAGGCCTTCTTGGGATCGGTGTTGTAGGGCAGCAAGTTAAACCACCACTTGCAACACCAGCATCCCATATCAGAGTGTGAGTCCTAGCTGCTCAGCTTCTGATCCAGCTTCCTGCTAACGCACCTGGAAAAGCAGTGGCTCATGGCCCAAGTTCTTGGGTCCTTGCCACCCACATGGGAGACCTGGATGGAGTTCTTGGCTTCTGACTTTGACCTGGCCTAACTCTGGCTGTTGTGGCCATCTGGGGAATGAACCAGTAAATGGAAGATATCCTTCTCTGTCCCTCACTCTACCTTTTAGATAAATAAATTTTATTTTAAAAATGGCTTATTTCATTTAGCATGCTGCTTTTGAGATGCATCCATGTCACTGAGTGCATCCACAGTTTATTCCCTTTTGCTAAAATAGTGTTCCATTGTATAAGTATGCCTTAGTTTGTCATATACAAGTTGAGGGATATTTGGGTCACTTACAGCTTTTAAATTTTGAATAAAGTTGCCATGAACTTTTGCACATGGGTTTTTATGTGAACATGTTTTTATTTCTCCTGGAGTGGCACTGCTTTTAGGGGATGAGGGTGTGTTTAATTTTATAAGAAACTGTCATGCTTTTCCAAAATGGCTCCACTGGGGCTGGCGTTGTAGCACAGTGAGTTAAGCCACCGCCTATGATGCTGGCATCCCATATGGGTGCGGGTTCACATCCCAGCTGCTCCACTTCTTATCTAGCTCCCTGTTAATGCACCTGTGAAAGCAGCAAAAGATGGCCCAAGTGTGTGTGCCTTGTGTGTGCCTTTGTCCCCGTGTGGGAGACATGGATGGAATACTAGGTTCCTGGCTTCAGCCTCACCCAACCCCTGTTCTCTCTGACTCTGACTTTCAAATAAATAAGTAAATAAATAAATATTTTTTTTTAAAATGGCTCCACTATTTCACATGCCCATCAACAAAGTATGAAGTTCCAATTACATAGTATTGTGTTTTTTATTTTGCCTATTCTAATAAAAAAAGATAAAGTATTACTTCATTGTTTAAACAGCATAAGAAATAATTGACATACAATACACAGTACATTTTTTTAAGTTATACTGTGTGACTTGCTTTGACCTAAATACATTATGAAGCCATTACCATCAAGGCAGAACATACCTCTTGCCTCAAAGTTTCCTCATGCCCCTTGGTTATTGCATTTCCACCCCAGGCCCACTATCTGAGCAACCACTGATCTATAGATAACAGAACCTGTAGATCAGCCACACTGTAAAAGGCTCCGAGGCCTTATCTCAGAGCCGCTGAACTGTTCGTTGCCTGGAACACTGGTCTCAGATTCAGCAGCTTGCTTGCAGACCTGCTGGCTTTTTGTGGTGCGATCTTTCTTCACCCACAGCCTGGCACGCGCCCCGCCCTCTTCTTGTTCTCCACAGCTTACTGACCTGTCTCCCCATGCAAAGGGATAAAGATGGGCGGCAGCCTGCAAACATGGAAGACAGTTTGAAAACTTCCTCTCCTGGAGGCCGAGCGTTCAGGGCCACGCACCCCATTTCTTTATCGATATGCAAATCGGAGCGCTGTCGGCTCCAGGGCCTCCTCCCTAAAAGACCGCTGTGAGAGCCCGAAGCAAACAGTCCCGAAAAAGACCCTGGGCATCTCCGGCAGCAGAGGCCCGGGCAGAGCTCATCTGGGACAATGCTCTGCCCTGCTCAGAGGGAAGGCGACGCCCCCTGCACGGCCCCACACAAACCCCAGACTACGAACTGGACCTCAGCTTCCGGCTCCGGCATCCTTTCCGACTCCTTTGCCGGAAACGAAGAACAGATCCCGTTCCTCTTCGCGTCCGCTAGCGGGACTCAAGGCTTGGGTGGAAGGGTCAGAGAGCAGGGACCACAACCTCCGGGATCCCAATCCGGCCGGCCTACCCGGAAGCGGCTCGGGGAGGGCGGGGATTGGGCACCACTTCCGGAAGCCGAGAGATTGGTTTCCCAGCCGGAGCTCTTCGAGGACGGACCGGAGGCGGCCGGTGAGTTCTGCCTGCGAGCCCGCGGGCCGGACTGGGAGGGCGGGCAGTGGGAGCGGTGTTCTTGCGGGTGTACGGTGCTTCGCGTAGATGTTTCTCCATCGCTGAGCGCTCGAGCAGATGTGGACGGGAAGGGAGGGAGCCCCTGGGAGGAGGCCGCGAGGTGAGGGGACGCCGGGACGCCCTTGCCGGGCTGGTGGGACAGTCGCGGCTGAGTTCCCAGAGCCGCAGGGCGACGAGGCCTGAGGTGCGTTTAGAGAGGGTCGCAGTGAGTGCAGCCGGGGTAAGATTCCGGGAGGCGGAGTTGTGAGGAGGCCTCTCTCGCGAGGCCGCTGCTGTAGATGGGACGGGTGGCCGGGGGACAGTTCAGCATGCCCCACAGGTTGTAAATTTCTGCCCTCTCAGTGAGTGAATTACGCCAAACGCAAGCAAACTGTGTTCAAGTCTTCTAAAGGTTCTTTTCTTCTAGTGTTATGTACTCAAGTTTGTGTGCTCAGCATAGGAAATTCAGAACATGTACAACAAAATAGTTCTGTAAAAGACAATACCAATCACCTAATAATCTTATTACCCAAGATGACCATATGTTGGTGTTTCCTTTGTGTGTGTGTGTGCATCGTTTGGTAATTGAGATCATAATGATTATTTTTCTGTATCTTTTTCATTGGACATCAGCATGATTAGAGGTTGAATGAACCATGTGTCAGGACATTTTAACACATTTATTTTTCTGCTTGCAACAGAAAATGTCAGGTAATTCTAGCAAGTCAATAACTTTTTAAAAGACCCCACATTTTGCTTTTTCAGATGTTTTTATTTAATGTTATTTATTGCTGTTTTCATACATCATCAAGGCTACAGTTGTAAATGGCTGTTTAGTTACAACCAATCCTGTCATTGGCTGAATAGGTTTTCAACTTTTCACTGATAAAACGACAAGAGGAGCATCTTGTTATGTAATCTTCACATTTCCAAATAATTCCTTGAGAAAAAGAAATCTGGGACCCACCAGATAAAAGGACAAAATGGCCCCATCAGATTTTCCTACCCAAATACCTCGTTAAGACTCTGAAGATGTTCCATTCAAGGAAGTGGTTAGGTCATTTGTAATAGTCAGCTTTTTCTTTCTACAATGCAGTACCTCGGATTGGGAAGCTGTGAGAGAAGGAGAATTATTTCAGCTCTTGGTTTGGAGGTTCACAGCCCAAGATCTGGTGGCCCTGTTGGCTCAGCATCTGTAATGGCATTCTTGCTGGAAAAGTCCCAGGTAGCACAGAGCATCACATGGCAAGTGGGAGTGTGTCCGTCTGCGGCTCCTTAGAAAGCCACCGTGGTCCCTGGGGGCTCTACCCAGCAACCTAATCCAATCTGATCACTTCCGAAGGGCCCTGCCTCTGAAATGATAGTGGATACATTAACATAAGACTTTGGGGACCAAGCCTTTAACAGCCGGGCCTTTGGAGGACAACTGGACTAATATCTAAAGCATAGCACCATTCTAGTTACTCAAGCTATCTTTTTTTTTTTTTTTTAATTTATTTATTTGAAAGGCAGAGTTACAAAGAGGGGGTGGGAACAGAAATATCTTACATCCTCTGCTTCACTCCCCAAATAGCTGCATCAGCCCCAGCTCGGCCCAACCAAAGCCAAGAGACAAATTCCATCTGTGTCTCCCATATGGGTGACAAAAGCCCAAGAACTTGGGCCATCTGCTGCTGCTTCTCCAGGCACATTAGCAGGGAGATGGACTGGAAATGCAGCAGCCTGTCCTCGAACCATCACTGATATGAGATGCCAGTTTCTCAGGCAGCAGCCTACCCTACTATGCCACAATATGGGCCCTTTAAATTGTCTTTTTTAAAACTGTCTGTTAGGTCCAGCGTTCTGGCATAGTGGGTTAAGATGCTTCCTGTGACACCATCATCCCATACGGGTGCCAGTTCATGTACTAGCTACTCCACTTCTGATCAAACTCCCTGCTAATGGGCCTGGGAAAGCAGCAGAACATGGCTCAAGGGCTTGGGCTGCTACCACCATATGGGAGACCCAGAAGCAGCTCCTGGCTCCCAGCTTCAGCCTGGCCCAGCCCTGGCCATTGCTGCCATTTGGGGGAGGGAGCCAGTTGATGGAAGGTTCCTCTCTCTTTCTAACTCTGCCTTTCAAATAAATAAATAAAACGTCTTCATTTCTATCCTTTCCGTGTTATGCCTGTGTCTAAGGAAGGGCCAACATATTATTGATTCTTTAATAATCATGTCCTCTCTACCTAATTGCCATGTGTGGAATGAGTATCTTTGGGTAAGTTGTGATACTTCATCTTTCAAATTTTATTTTATTCCTTAACATTTGTGTGCAGGTCTTGCTAAAATACAAAGTGGTGAGCCAGAAAGTTACAAAGGCTGAGAGTAAGGTTTCATTAGTCCCACAGGTGTTCTGCTCCTAGCTATCTGCTGGGAAGCAGCCCCCTGGTGCAGCCCCCCGCACCCCAGCCTGCTCATCTGGACGAACAGACTGGCTGGTTAGACTTTCTTCCAGCAGCAGTAAAGGAACTACAGGCAGCTCAGTGGGCTTCAGAAGACAGATGTGCTTGGGAGCAGGGTTTTCTCGTTTAACCGTTCTGTGCTGCTGTTACAGCTACTTTTACTTATTTGTTGGCAAGGATACTGGTTTGTGAAGGAATGAATCATAATGTTAACAAAGGAAACTTATTAGTCTTTTTGGGTTTGTGCAGTGGAGTCCTGCTTATCTGTGAAATGCAGCTAATGCACCAGCTGGACCTGTTTCCCGAATGCAGGGTGACCCTTTTGTTGTTTAAAGATGTAAAAAATGCTGGAGACCTGAGAAAAAAGGCCATGGAAGGCACCATTGATGGTTCACTGATAAATCCTACAGTGGTGAGTACAAAATGGGAGAATGAAGGCACCACGCAGGCATTTAAGGCTGTGCCACTTTCTCACCATGCTACTGGTTAGCCTACAATCTTAGCATCAAGTGAAAAGTTCTCATCCAACTCAGACTTGGCCAACCTTGAATTTAACAGTGAGTGGACACAGAAGCACCAGGCCCTGCCCCAGGGAAAAGGAAAGGTAGTGTGGCTGACCCCCGTGGTGGACGCCAGGGACCCCAGCTGCTCATCTGTGAGATGAGCGTTGTGAGGAAGCCAGTCTGGAGAGGCGTGGTGCCGCGGTTAAGACGACGTGACCGGGACCCAGCCACAGCTCTGCTGCTTACTGCAGCTCCGAGCAAGTGACAGCCAGCCTTTATGTGGCACTGACGTGCTCCTAGGATTGCTCTAAGTGTCGTTCTTCTAATTCTGACTCACCTTCCCAACAACCTGGTGAAGTGAGTTCTGGCATTTTTTGTCTCTAACTTAGCCAGCTCCCCTAGGTGGGAGAGCTGTGATTCACACCCTGACACGCCACGCCTCAGTCTCCTCAGCTACTACCTGTGAATAATGTCAGTTTCTGTGGGTAGCTTTAGGATTAAGGATCATACAGGTAAAATGTTTTAGAATGGACCTTTCTGATAATATTAGCCCTGGATAAATGTTAAACATTCTTACTGTTTATTTAAAGTTTACTATTCTGATTTTTTTCAGTATCCAGACCTTTGATGTAATAGTTTTGAAAGTATACTCCACAAGAATTGTGATAAGCTAAGGCAGCTTGACACTGGAGCGACCCTGGGATAAGGCCCGTGTCTGCAGGGTGTGCCAGAATCTCTGATTCTTGTTGTTCTCTTTGGTAGATTGTCGATCCATTTCAGATACTTGTGGCAGCAAACAAAGCCGTTCACCTCTACAAACTGGGAAAAATGAAGACAAGAACACTGTCTACGGAAATTATTTTCAACCTCTCCCCAAACAACAATGTAAGGTGGCATTCACTGTTTCTTTTAACCTTGTCCTAATGATCTGTGTGTTCCCCAGACATGGGTCGGAGACTGAGTTCCTGCAAACCAGTTATTAGGAATAGACCAGAATAACTGCAAAGAGAGCTCTGGACAGAGAGTTGAGTGGAGCTCTGCCTCTGAATAGTTGAGTCGGCCTTGGAGCCAGTTTGCTTGTGAGGAAAACAGAAGTTGAGCTAAGCTAGGGAGGCTAGTTTTGTTTGTCCTTCTTAACATACGGGATTGGGAAGATCTCGTCAGTACTGATGTTTAAGAAACAGGCGGAAACCTCAATGACCAGACGTTAGGCACGGACAGTTGATGTGTTAGCAGGCACGTGTTTCACTCTCCCTGTAAACTTCTTGTCCTTTCTGTGTACCAGGAACTTACTGGTGATATGGGCCTTGATGTCTTAATCTTTTTTTTTAAAAGATTTTATTTATTTGAAAGGCGGAGCCAGAGAGAATTCCATCTGCTGGTTCACTCAGCGAATGGCCACAATGGCTGGAACTGCACTGATTGGGAGCCAGGAGCTTCTTCTGGGTCTCCCACAAGGGTGCAGGAGCCCAAGGACTTGGGCCATCGTCTACTGCTTTCCCAGGCACATTAGCAGGAAGCTGGATCAGAAGTGGAGCAGCCTGGACTCGACCCAGCGCCCATATGGGATGCCAGCACTGCAGGCAGTGACTTTTACCCGCTATGCTACAGCGCCGGCCCTGGTATCTTAATCTTTACTCTAGGACTGGCCCCGCACAGAGAGAATTCAAAGCAGAGGCATAATACAGTGCACAAGTGAAAAGTTTTTATTTAAAAGTGAGAGTGAATGTACATGCATGGTGAGTGGGCTGCCCCACACATAGAAATACCTGTCAAGAATGGGCCAGAGAGTGCCCATGAGAAGAGAGAGAAAGAAAGCCAGAGAAGGGTCCCCAAGCATGGCAAAGGGCAAAAGAAGGTCCCTCCTCTGTTATCAGCTGCTTTTATGAAGTAGGGGTGGTGTCAATTAAATAACAAATGGAGGGGAGGTCTTAGCATGCATGAGCTCTCTGAGATTTTTATGGCACATCCACTTCCATGTGGCCATCATGGCTTCTCCTTCTTGGACCTGGATGAGACACAGGTGCATCCTGGGAAGGCAGGCATGGTAGATTGACAGGTGAAGGGATAAAGCCTGCTCATACATCTACTACACAGGAAGAGTCCACAGCTTGAAATACTCACAATAATACTTTCCCAATAAGAGCTAACTGAATTAGGGACTGGCCCTGTGGGGTAGTGGGTAAGCCAACTCGTGTAGTGCTGGCATCCCACATGGGCACCAGTTCAAGTCCTGGTTGCTGCACTTCCAATCCAGCTCTCTGCTAATGTGCCTGGGAAAGCAGCAGAAGATGGCCCAAGTGCTTGGGCCCCTGCATCCATGTGGGAGACCCAGAGGAAGCTCCTAGCTCCTGGTTTCAGCCTGGCCCAGCCCCACCTGTTGGTTGCCATTTGGGGAGAGAACCAGCAGATGGAAAACCTCTCTATGTAACTCTACCTTTAAATAAATAAATCTTTTAAAAGAAAAAGTTATTGAGCTAAAGGCATTCCACACACTGTATATGCAAAAATGCCTGAAATTTTGCTAATGAAGTTTTAGTATTGCTGCTACTACTACTGTTAATAATGCAACCTGGTACTAACAGCATCAAGAGAAAAATTAGGAAACCTGTGGCATGGTCTGAAATACAGATAATTACAAAGTTTGTAAAATGCACTTGCCTCAGCCTGCTAATGGAATTCTCCAGTACCTGGAATACAGTTTACCAGATTAGTTATTTCTTTGAAAACATTTGAAATAATTCACGAAACTGTTCAATGGACATGGAACTTGTCCCATTTACAGTGCCAGGGGCAGAAAATGCAAATATATTCCTGAGGAAAGGCAGATAAACAAGACAAAAGTTAACGTGCCCTACAGTGAATATGGAAATATGATGTTAATTGTCGGGGTAACGGAAGAAGAAGGGTGTGGCAGAGTGGCAGCTGAACCAGGCCTTGAAGCACACATTCGGTGGTCAGGCTGCAGGAAAAGGGGGAGACAGAGTGAAATCTGGCAGGATCCCCAAGCCCGAGAGGCCAGGGGCATGTGGCTAGAGGGTCACTTGGGCCGTGGGAGTGGGCTATTTATGTGAAGTGCCAAGGAGTCTGGGCCTGATTCCATAGGAACCAGGTCGGCTAAAGGCCCGGGGTGCCTTGGAGACCCTAGCAGTAGTTGGTGGAAAGGGACGATTGAGGGGAAAAGCAGGCAGACAGCTGTTTCCAGGTGAAGAAGAACTGTACCAAGGAGGATGGTGGACCAGGAGGTGTTTCAGGTACAGGAAACCCCGACTCATTATCTTGATGCTTTTGGATTTTGTTTGTATTTTTTCTTAGATTTCAGAAGCTTTGAAAAAATTTGGTATCTCAGGAAATGATACTTCAATTCTAATTGTTTACGTTGAAGAGAGAGAAAAACAAATAAATCAAGAAGACCTAATATCTCAAGTGGAAGGGCAGCAGGTTTCTCTGGAAAAGCTTCCTGAAATAACAAATATTACAGAAGTCAAAAAGGTTCGTAAAACTTCACACAATTTTTTTTTTTAAGATTTATTTGAAAGAGTTACAGAGAAGGAGAGGCAGAAGGGAGAGAGAGGTCTTCCCTCTGCCAGTTCACTCCCCAGTTGGCCACAGTGGCTGGAGCTGCATGGATCTGAAGCCAGGAGCCAGGAGCTTCTTCCGGGTCTCCCACGTGGGTGCAGGGGCCTGAGGATTTGCGCCATCTTCTACTGCCTTCCCAGGTCATAGCAGAGAGCTGGATTGGAAGTGGAGCAGCCGGGCCTCGAACCAGCGTCCATATGGGATGCCAGCATTGCAGGTGGTGGCTTTACCTGCTATGCCACAGTGCTGGCCCCTATACAAACTTTTTTAAAAGATTTTATTTATTTGAAAGAGCTACAGAGAATGAGAGAGAAATCTACCTGCTGGTTCATTCCCCAAAATGGCTGCAACAAGCCAGGGCTGAGCCGGGCTGAAGCCACGAGCCAGGAGCTTCTTCCAGGCCTCCCATGTAAGTAGCAGGGGCACAAGCACTTGGGCCATCTTCTGCTGTTTTTCCCAAGCCATTACCATGGAGGATTGGAAGTGAGGCAACCGGGACATGAACTGGTGCCCTTATGGGATGCTGACATTGCAGGCAGTGGTTTTACCCACTATGCCATGACACTGGCCCCTGTAAAACTATATATTTATATAGAGTGTGACAGATGAGGAATGTCAGTGCTGCTTGCTTAGTAATCAACAGTTCACCTATTTTTTTTTTTAATATTTTAAAAAATGTTCAGGGCCTGGCACTGTGGCACAGTGGGTTAAAGCCCCAGCATCCCTTTTGGTTCGAATCCCGACTGCTCCACTTCTGATCTAGCTCTCTGCTGATGCGCCTGGTAAGGCAGTGGAGGATGGCCCAAATGCTTGGGGCCCTGCACCCATGTGGGAGACCTGGAAGAAGCTCCTGCCTCCTGGCTTTGGCCTGGCCCATCCCCATCTGTTGGCGGCCATCTGGGGAGTGAACCAGTGGATGGAAGACCTCTCTGTCTCTACCTCTCTCTGTAACTCTGCCTTTCAAATAAATAAAATAAATCTTAAAAAAAAAAGTTCGATAACTAGAAGGTGCAGGTTTATGTACAGTATAATTGGAAACTTAGTTGATGAACTGTTCTCAGTTAAGAAAGTGTATGCCTTAAGGAGTAGCGTTTGGTACAGTGGTTAAGATGCTGCATGAGATGCCTGCATGCAACATCAGAGTGCCTGCCTGGGTTTGAGTCCCGACTCTATTCCGAGTCCAGTTCCCTACTAGTGTGCACCCTGGGAGGATGCAGATGATGGCTCAAGTACTTGGGTTCCTATCATCCGTGTGCGAGCTGCCAGTTGAGATCTGGGCTTCCTGCTTTAGCCTAGCCCAACTTGGGCTGTTAGAGGCAGCTGAGGAGAAAACTAGAAGACAGAAGATACATCTCTTTCTGCCTCTCAGATAAAACAAAAACAAACAAAAAATTTTATAAAGAAAGTAGATACCTTCAAATCTCAAGCTTACATAGTACATTTAAAATGTAAAATAAATTTAGTATGACATTAATGTCTAGATATATGCTTTTAAAATTGATGTAGATTTGACACTTTGGGTTTTTATGTGCATAAGTGTAGCTTAAAGGGAGTATTAAATATGCGCTGCATTGCTATCTACTTGAAATATTTTAATCACATTTGTGGTTTGTGATTTCGCACCATTTACTCAGTGAATGAGGAGGAATTTCACTTATATATTTCTGTGTAATGATAGTTACTAGTATATGAACATATCAGCAAGTCCTAATGTGACTTTCATCTTTACAGATATATAAACTGTCCTCACAAGAAGAAAGTATTGGGACATTATTAGATGGTATCATTTGTAGAATGTCAACAAAAGATGTTTTGTGACATGTCAGAAATATCAACAGAAATTTTCAGCATTAAAGACAACACTGATTTTCCTGATTATAAAATTAATGTATATTAATTGTATAAAATTTTAAAACAGAATGGTATAAAAAGAAAAGAAAGGCTACTCCTATTTGTTCTTCTTTTAAAAGATACTCACTGTTGTTATTGCTTGTTATTGCCTGCTAGCCTTCCAGTTTTCTATTCAGATATATTTTATTTTTATAATTGGAATAAAAACTGCAGCTACCTGTTGAATGGCTACAGTGTACTGGGTTATTAATTCAGTAATTCTCTGGCCAGCAGTTTGCATCCCTCCCCATTCTGCATGCCCTCTGAGGCCTCTGGATCCTGTTTTGCATGTAGAATTCATTCACTCCTATCAGCAACTTTAAGAGGCAGGTAGAGGTACCACTGTTTACTTATTTACTTTAATTTGTAATTCTTGTTCTTCTCCTTTATAAAGTAACTACATAAGCAATTATTTACAAAATTATGTTGGTGGATCATATGATGTGTAAAAATGTAACTTGTGGGGCCAACGCTGTGGCACAGCAGGTTGAGGCCCTGGCCTGCAGTGCCGGCATCCTTGGTGGGCGCCATTTGAGTCCCGGCTGGTCCACTTCCGATCCAGCCCTCTGCTATGGCCTGGGAGGGCAGCGGAGGATGGCCCAAGTGCTTGGGCCCCTGCGCCCTAGTGAGTGACCTGGAGAAGGCTCTTGGCTCCTGGCTGGGATCAGCGTAGCCCTGGACGTTGCGGGAGTTTGGGGAGTAAGCCATCTGATGGAGAACCTCTCTCTCTGTCTCTGCTTCTTTCTGTAACTCTGTCTTTTAAATGAATGAAGTAGATATCTTAAAAAAAAAAAAAAAAAAAGTAACTTGTATGACAGTATTACCATGAAGAGAGAGTGAATGGATGCATACTGGACCAGAACTTTAAATTCTATTGAAATTAAGTTAACATTAAACCAAACCAGATTGTTCAAAAATGCTAATTTTAATCCCCAGGGCAACCATTAAGAAAATAACTTAAAAACAAAGAAACAAGGGACTTAGAGTGGCACCCTAAAAAATACCAATTTAAGGGGCCAGCGCTGTGGCTCACTTGGCTAATCCTCTGCCTGAGGCGCCGGAATCCCATATGGACACCAGATTCTGTCCCGGTTGCTCCCCTTCCAGTCCAGCTCTCTGCTGTGGCCCAGGAAGGCAGTGGAGGATGGCCCAAGTGCTTGGGTGCCTGCACTCGTGTGGGAGACCAGGAAGAATCGTCTGGTTCCTGGCTTCGGATCGGCATAGCTCTGGCCGTAGTGACCATTTGGGGGGAGAACCAACAGAGGGAAGACCTTTCTCTGTCTCTCCCTTTCACTGTCTGTAACTCTACCTGTCAAATAAATTAAAAAAAAAAAACTTTAAAAAAATACCAATTTAACACAAAAGGAAGGCAGTGATGGAGAAGTTAGAGGAAGCAAAGTCAGCAAGACATGTAAAATAGCATGGCAGTAACAAACCCACTTTATCAGTTATTACAGTAAATGTAGAGAGACTCAGCTCTCCTACCCAGAGACAACTACGTGCTGTTTACAAGAAGCATACTTTATGTGCAGAGACACAAATAAATTAAAAATAAAAGGATGGAGGCTGATGGGCACAGTGGGATAAGCCACACTTGTGACATTAGCATCCCTTATCAGATTGTTTGAGTCCTGGTTGCTCCACTTCTGGTCCATATTCTTGTTAATGTACCTGGGAAGGCAGTGGAAGACAGCCTAAGAGTTTGGGCCCCTGCCACCCATGGGAGAGACCTGGGTGGGGTTCCTAGCTCCTGGCTTCAGCCTGGCCCAGACCTAGCTGTTGTGGCAATTGATGAGTGAATCAGCAGATGGAAGACTGATAAGTCTTTAAAAAACAAAGGAAAAAATATATGTAAACTGTAATCAGAGAGCTAGAATGGCCACACTAATACTAGACACAGAAACTGTTAACAGAGACAAAGGACATTTTATAAGATAAGGGCCATCCAGGAAGAAGATGGAACTATTTTCAATAAACATATACACTGACTAGTAGGGCCCCAAAATACTTGAAGCAAAAACTTATAGAATTGAAACCAGAAATAGACCATTCAGCAATAATACTTAGAGATTCCAATACTTCACTTTCAATAATGGATAGAACAGACACGAGATCCACAAGGAAATAGAAGATGAGGGGCCAGTGCTGTGGCGTAGTAGTCCCGGCTGCTCCTCTTCTGATCCAGCTCTCTGCTGTGGCCTGGGAAAGCAACAAAAGATGCCCAAGTGCTGGAAGAAGCTCCTGGCTTCAGATGGGCCATTTGGAGAGTGAACTGGCAGATTGAAGACGTTTTTCTCTCTCCCTCTTTCTGTAACTCTACCTCTCAAATAAATAAATAACGTCTTTAAAAAAAAATAGAAGATGAACACCTCTATGAGCCAACTAGATCATCTGGACTTCCCCAGTGCACGCCAACAACAGGGCATGCGTTGTGCATCAGATAGCACACGTGAAGCACTCTCTAGGGTAGATCGTGTGCTCTGCTGCAAAACAAGTCTCCATACATGGAAAAGGACTGAAATGATACAAAGCAGAGTCTCTAAACACAAATGATACAGAATCAATTACATAGGGAAATACGGGGAAGGCACAGGTAGCAGTTAAACAGCACAGTTCTAAATAACTAATGGATCAAAGAAAAAAACGTGGAATTAGAAGATCTTGAGAGACAAATGAAAACAAAAGCAATACATTTTCTTTGAAACAAATGTTCAAACAAAACTTCCACCTAGGTGTTCCCAACAGTTCTACAGTAGTCAAAGAGTACAATTTCAATGTCTGTCAACTGCCAGAGAAACAAACACAGGACAGCCGTACACTGGAGTGCTATTCAGCCTTGAAAGGAGCAGAGTACTGCCAGGTGCTGCAGCAAGGCTGAGTGCCCCATGTATTCAAAATACTTGGGCGGGCAAATCCACAGGCAGAAAGCAGTTGCGAGGGGCTGTGAAGATCAGTGAGTGGGACCGGACTGCCAATGACAAGCAGGTTTGTATTTGGGGTGATGGTTGCACAGCACTAGGTATATCGCTTAACTGTACAATGAACATGGTTTACACAGTGTTAGTTTTTTTTTTTTTTAATCACTTTAATCACAATTAGAAATATTTGGGGGAAAGGAAATAAGGGAAAACCATGAATGCAACGGAAGTATCTCAAGTGTAAAAACTCGGCATACTGGCCTCAAGCAGGGGCTCGTTCTTGTCTGGATCAGAACCTGGCTCATGGGGGGGGGGGGACACTGGAGCAGAGCACAGCCTGAAACCTTTGTGCTCCCTTAGCCTGAAACAGCGTGGGTGAAGAGACATAGCGCCCCTCAACCTGGGACGGAAAAGCCTTGTTCCTTGCAAGCGAGCGGAGCGAGCGGCGTCTCTGAGCCGGGGCGGGGGCGGGAGCAGCCCAGCGGGCGGCCGGAGTACGGCCGCCCCTGTCCATGCGCCCCTGCGCCCCTGCGCCCCTGCGCCCTGACAGCGGGAGGAGCCGTCCGTGGCCTCCAGGACCCGGCTGGCGGCGGCGGCGGGGGAGAGGCTCCAGGAGCCCGGCTCCCATTTCTGTCCGTTTTCCGCTCGAGGTGAGTAGGCGACCCTAGCACTGACCAGGAAGTCGCAAAGCACGATGAGGCTGACGCAGGGGAGATGGGGGACACCCGCACTCTTCCAGGTACCCAGGCCCCCTGCAATCCCAAGAAGACCCCAAGAGCCGCTGCAGCTGCACCAGGCCCTTTAAGTTGCTGGGGCCCCCAGGGCCAACCTCCGGCCCTGGACAGATAGAACTGAAAACAAAATGTCCTCCTAGCCCAGAAAGCCTCTCTGGAGAGACAGAAGACAAAGCAGCTCGTGTCCTGGAAGAAGCGTGAAGCCAGAGTGGGATGCCCGCAGCAGGCCAGACCCCGAGAGATGCAGACAGAGACGGCCACCCTGGGCCACACTCTCGGGGTCAGCAGTGACCCCCGGCAGGCAGCAGGGCTGGACAGCACCAGGAGGGGGGCTTGGCGCTGGGCCCGCACTGCTCTCCAGGTGCCCGACTTCCTGGGTTTGCTAGGAGGCTGCAGCAAATGAACCCTCAATGAACGCGACTCGCCCATATCTGGGCTGAATGGAGTGGACAACACTGAGAGCATCTGTTGCCGTAGCCAGGCGCTTAATTCTTTGGAGTTACGTTCTTCAGATGGGCACAGTGGTCCGTTCGCTGTGCTATGTGTTGTAGAAGTGGTCAGTATCAAAATGGAGTCACTTTTTTAAGCCCTAAGCAGAAATTTATAAGTAAATGAAAAAATAAAGGCAGCAGGCTGTGGAGAGGCTATCGTGCCTGGTAAGAGGAAATATTCCCATGGGACCCTCCCAAGCCCTCCTGGCACAAAGGCCACCACAACCATGAACAGAGCCTCTTTGCAAGATCATCTGTTCCAAAATTGATTGTTCAGCCTTGGCCAGCCCCCCCACCCCCACCCCACCCCCGACTTTGATCCTGGTCACTAAGGACTCTTTGAAAACAGCTTATGTAATCCTCATTCTGCCTCTGAATGAGGCAGCTTCCCCTGCTCAGAGGGTCCCACTGCAGTGTTCCAGGATGCTCCGCAGACGAGCGTTCTCTGTGTGGTACAATATTGTCCCACAAGGAAGAGGAGAGACTCTCATGGGTTAATACATCCCCCAGCGTCTCCTGCTGCAGTTTATGCTCTGAATGGGGCGGTGACAGGGTAAGGAAGAGGAAGGGACCTAAGAAGGGGCGTCAGTGCTGCATGACCGGATGTGTGCCTGGAGGGAGGAGGAGGCATTGTGGAAGGAGGGGCGGAAGACAGCAGTCATTAGCTCCAGGTCTTGAAGGCGTCCTCCAGCTGTGGCCTCCCAGGAGTTCAAGGTGGTATTTTAGAAGTCAAGGTCAAATGGCTTATACTAATTTGAAAAGTGCAATCTTGAAAAACAACTGGGTGTCCCAACTTCTCCCAGGTTTTCTCTTGTTCCGAATTGAGATCATATTTCAGAGGTCTGAAAATTGTAACATCTCCAGCTCCTTCTAATTCTGACCCCATCTCCTGTTGGGTCATCCACCTCCTTGGTGCGCCTATTCCATATAAGGAGACAGGGAGTGGGTGTCCAAATATTTGTGCTCTGGGTCCTTGTCTTCTTTGAAAACCCCCTTATGTGCTGTGTGGGTGGGCATCATTGCTGCCAACCAGCACCCATTGCCCAG